AGGGAAATGTTGAGAGCAGCTTGGAGGACGCACAGGAGTCCAAAGCTCACACCAACCAGTGTGTACAGTTTTCTTCCTGAGTGCAGAAATCACACACACAATGATCATTTGATGCCCAGCTGCCTGTTTACAGAGTAATCTGAATTAGTTTGCTGGGTAAAACCTGACACATGCTCAAGGACATGGACTGATGTGTAAAGATCTATTCTGGTTTTAATTCACCAAAATTCACCAAAACTCCAGGGTGTGGATGAATACGTTTTCATAAATATTTTGTGAACTTTTCCCTTGTCCTGTCGCTGTGATGACCAGAAGGGCTCAACATATACACGTATATATCCAGCTGTTGCTCTAGGATGTTAGGCTGCACTGACGGTTCAGATTGGTCCTGAGGTGCCTGAAGCTGTCAAAGTCTGCCAGCTGAATTTATAACAGTACCTCTCTGACTCTGACTCTAAGAGTGACACTGTCTTAAAGCAGCTGTAACTTTCTATTTACTGTATACATGCGTCTCTCTACTGAACAGGAAACTGTAAATATGAAGTATTTTAAGTTGACCACTATTACCTTTTTGGCCTATAAGTTGCAGCTGTATGATGTGCTTTACCTTTTGGTTAGAGCTACCCACCCAACCACCCACCTACTTACCTACTTACCTACTTACCAAGGCATTCAGTTATTCAGATAAATGAGCCAAACTCCTTGTTGTAAAGTTGCATTCAAGCTCCATTAAATTTGAGGATGTATGTAAGCTAAAGGCATTTTTATACATTTTCATATAAGTGGCAGAAAATACTGAGGGACTGATTCTTCCTTATAGCTTTTCTAATTTTTTAAAACTTTTTCTAAAAAGTTACATTTTGTCCAAAACTGAATTTATGGTTAAAACCGAGAATATTCATTGAGCTGTAGGATTTCTGTCTTACCTGACATAACAGGAGTCACTGCTGCGCTGTCTTCCCCAGTGTGCCTCTTTGAGGCAACACTTCTGGCCACTTGATAATTTATATATTCCATAGTAATATCAGATGCTCTTTATGGAAAATGCTCACTACCCCACTGACTAGAGTCGGGGGAATAGTGATGAACAATGTGTTGTCTAAGAATGATACTTATGATCACTTCTTCTTTTATATTTTTGAATTTGCTGAAGATTATCACACCTTCTTCCTCATTTTTCTTTAATTTTTTCTTTTTCTTTTTATCGCTGCCTCAATTTGAACTTGCCTCTGCTTCCTGTGTGGTATCTTGAGGTGCTGATGTGAAGATGTGATCACCGCTGACACGTCTTTACTTGCAATCAAAAAGAAGTTTATTTACAAGAAAGAAACAGTGTCAAAAAATGCCGAATCCCGGAGCATCTCTGCCAATGTGAGATCTCTCCTCTAACGTCTCCAAAACCCCTCTATTTATCGGCTCAACCCTCCTTTGGGATTTACCCTTCTTTCAATAGGGAGCCTTCACCCAGAGATTGACCACATCTGGACTGTGGTCTTTGGCCTTTAACCTGTTGGGCCAAGCAAGGACCCCCACATCCTGAGTCTCTCATACTGTATTTAACAGAAACCTGATGTATAAACAGTATAAACAGTTTTGCCCTAAATGCACATTCCTTAACCTCAACTTATAATGGATGGTTCAAGGAAACCTTTGACAAAGTTTTGGTTGACACCCTTTTTAGACTTTAGGATGAGACACGCATAGAAGAAGAACATGCAACAATTTATAATGTTGTAACATAAGGAAATGAAGTGGATAATACACTACACCTGCAAAGTGGAAAATCTTAAAACTTCAAAGAGGCCTCATAATTCCTTTGTTTTACATCAGGGGTTCATCAGAATGTTATTGATATGAAGTTATTTTTTGATAGACAAAAAATTACTATAGAGTTTAATCCTCACCTGGAGTGAGATGTTCTCTTACCCTTTCCCCTTTGAAAACAATGAATTCCTTGTACAGTTTTGAATGATGAATGAACAACTGGAGATGAACCGAACTCTCATCTTCACATACAAGTCCTCTCATCCTCTATCTTAATATTACACAATGATTAGACCTGGAAACTTTACTGCATTACTCTCTAATGGCCCATCAGTCTGTAAGTAATTACATTTTATAATTATATTATAAGTACTTAAACATTAACCATGAAATGGAAAGTGCCATTATAAGAGACATTTTTACTCAATATTCTTCTCTAAAATTTAAAATCTGCCTGAAAATATTGAACCGTGAAGTATAAAATAATATTGCTTATATAAATGTGACATCTGAGCCTTTGCGAGCCATATAGATAAAATGATTTGTTTTATTTTGTCATACAGCCATGTGACAATAGAATCCATAGAATCACAATTAGAATTACCGCCTCGCAGTTTGTATGCCTCTGCCACTCAGACTAGTTTCAGGCTACATCCCGGTTCCTCCAGAGTCATATTAAATATTAACCATTTGTGTGAAATTTTATCATAATTGCCGTGTGAAGTCATCAGTAATGGCTACAAAGTGTTTTCTGAGGTCACCATGGCCTTTGACCTTTGACCACCAAAATCTAATCAGTTTGTCTTTGAGTCCAAGTGAACATTTTTACCAGATTTGAAGAAATTCGCTCAAGGCATTACAGACATATTGCATTCATAAGGCCATAACTGCATTTTGTGAGGTCACCGTGACCTTTGACCACCAAAAATCTAGTTCATCCTTGAGTCCAAATTTGAAGAAGTTCCTTCAAGGTGTTACTGAGATATCGTGTCCAGGAGAATGGGACAGACAGACGGACAACCCAAGAACAATACGCCGGCTATTAAGCCTATTATGGCTCTGGCCGTCACCGGCGCCAGAGGCATAATGACATGTTGCACAACAAAATGTCATCACCGGTTGAGGTTGTATTGAGAAATCAAAACTTCCAACATTACAGTCACTCCTCCACTGCCAAAGCTGTGAACTAATCATTTTCTTAATACAAAGCAGAAGTAGACCATACAGCAGTAAACAAGCAAAATGGCATTGACTTTTACAACTGGTAATCACAGATGATAGTAATCAGTTACGCAGCTCATGTCAGATAAATCATTTACCAGGTCTATTATGTCTTCAACAAGTGGTTTACATCCCCTGCTTTTATCTCCTTCCATGGTCAGAAATTATGACCAACGCTTGAAAGTTGGGAGAGAAGAAGAAGAGGAAGTTAGACGTCAGGCTAACACAGCGTGGTCTGGGAATGGAAGTGAAATCATAATCGATTTAAAGCATGTATAACCACAAGAAAATCACATACAGGACAATGCAACCACATTTTACAGTGCCAAGAAAATAGAAGTGAACCCTTTTATTTTATGCACTAATTTGTCCTGAAATATGGTCAGATCTTCATCCAAGATACAAGTATGAGCAAGCGCTATTTTGACTAATAACGACAATAAATAAAAACAAACTGTCTATAAATAGAAGAATGGTCCAAACTTCCTCCTGAACATTGTGCATATTTGATCAACAGCAATAAGAAGTGCTTATTTGAAGTCATTGGTGCTAAATACAGGATGCACACAGGAAACCCATTCTTACACTATTTCCCACTCATGTGATGTACACACGTCACACATAAAGACACTGTGTTCAACCTTTCACACATACGCCATGTGACTATGTGTGAAACATTTTCTTTGCTACCTTTTGGCTGGGCCTTGTGCCCCTTCATTAATAGTGTTCTCTGTGTGTTAAATTAGTAAATTCAGTTGAATGTTTCAGTAAAAATCATCAGTCAGGTTTTTACAAACAACATTGTTTAATTTGTGTAGTTTTATCTCTGTTCCACAGGGTCATGATCTATTGGGGTCAGCTCTACTGTGGTGTGTTTGATGTATTTTCTTCTGCTGTGGTTCTGCCTGTGATTTTATGGATCAGCTGCTTAACAGTAAAAACAGGTTTATACCATTAAGTCCTGTTAGCAGCGAGGGGCTGGGAATTGTTAAGATGTGGGAGAATGAGTGTAGAGTGTCATTTTCTGGGAGACAGAGTAGGTGGCAGCTTGCTGTGAGGCTATTGTCTCTGTTTCAGTTTTATTTTCATCAGTAAATCAACCTTTTTTACATGGACTCTTGCCCATATCTGCTTCTTCAACATCCCCATTAAAGTTTTTCCAGTGCTACACAACATCTGCTGCACTTCTTATGCCACTATAACACGGCTTTTATGCATTTTTTTCCCCCATAAATTAGTAGCAGTGATGTGTAATGGTCAGGTTTAATGTTGTGGCACACACACAATCACATATTTCAACACAAGTGAAGTGAAATTGCGCATCTTCCTTTCATGGACAAGTATAAAGACTGGTGGAACAGACAAAAGTACTGATATGGAAACAGGTGATTAAGGGTTATTATGTTGTTGGAGTGGAAATCAAGCTTGTGAATGTTTTCACAATGAGTCAGATTTTGTAGTTGTGAGTCTAATTATCTGGGCCGCGCTTTTTGAGGTGTAGCATTGCTACTAAGTTGTCCAGTTTGCCTGTGTATTGTGATTATTAGGATAATTCACATAATTTATTTGTTGATTTACGATTGTGGAAGTGTTGTCAGGAATGTTACGCATACACACATGTTCCACATAACGCACCATTAAACAATTTGTTTTCAAAACCTTTGTCTGATCTTTAGTTCATGCCTGTTTTTATTTAGATTTTTAAATATTTTGTCACCAACAAGGACATTTATATTGACCTTTTTATTACTTTTTTTGCATAGATGCTTAAAGATAACTTTTGAGGCAATGTTGAGAAACTATACTATATGTTGTAGTATGACTTCAAAGGTAAAAGGAAGGTGGAGAAATTGTATATATTAAAGGTTATCAACTCCACAACTAAGAAATTCTGTTATTCAGGTAAAACATGTTAGCACAAGTCCAATGTTTCATTGCTACATTATTTTTCCTTCCGCTTTTTTTTGGTCTCTTCTGAAACTGTCAGCTGTGTATTAGGTCACTCCTGAAGAACACACACCAAAAGAAGGAACACAGAATCTGCCGACTAGACGTCTCACCATCCACAATGGCAACTGGGACTATACAGCAAATGGAGATGCTGGATTACATAAATGAGCAACCAAGACATGGACAGGAAAGGAGCAGGGATACAAATCAAACAGGTAATAACACACATCATCTTATTATAACAACACTATATTATACAACACTGGTCAATGTAGAAGTTGCACATGATTATCAAGTTTTTTTTAGTGTTGTAGTAGCATGTCAAAATAATGAGGAAACATCTTTAAATAAACATATCTGTCCTCCCTCTCTCTCTCTCTCTCTCTCTCCCCCCAGCTTTCCTGTCTCTCTCTGTCTCTCGCTCACTGTCACTGTAATAAAGGCAAACTGACCAAAAAATAACTAAAAGAAAAAAACAAAAAACATTCACTTACAATGCATGTACTGTATAATACCCACTCATGGCAACACAGTGGTCATGGTTACAGAGTCAGAAGTGAAGATACACTTAAGATACAGGTTGAGGTCTTTCGAAAACTAATTTTTAACCACTCCACAGATTTCATGTTATCAAACCATAGTTTTGGAAAGTCGGTAAGAGCATCCATTTTGTGCATGACATAAGTCATGTTTTTCAACAATTGTTTACAGACAGATTGTTTTGCTTTTAATTTACTATATCCCAATTCCAGTGGGTCAGAAGTTTACATGCACCAGGTTCACTGTGCCTTGAAACTGCTTGCAAAAATTACAGCAAATGATGTCAGGGCTTTAAAAGCTTAATAATCTGAGTTAATTGGGGGTGTACCTACCTGTCAAAGTATTTTAAGGCCTACCTTTAAAGTCAAGTGCCTCTTTGATTGACATCATGAAAAAAATCAAGAGAAGTCAGCCAAGATGTCAGAAAAAAATGTGGACCTCCACAAGTTTGGTTCATCTTTAGGAGAATATTCCAAAGTCCTGAAGGTTCCATGTTCATCTGTACAAACAACAGTACGCAGTATGCCATTCGTTGTGAAAATTGCAAAGAGCAATGAACCTTGTGAAGATGCTGGAGGAATCAGGTACAAAAATATCTAGACTACAGTTTGCAACTGCACAAGGGAACAGAGATCTTACTTTCTGGAGAAATGTCCTGCGGTTTGATGAAACAAAAATGAAACTGTTTGGCAATAATGACCAACATATGTTTGGGGAAAAAAAGGTGAGGCTTGCAAGCCAAAGAATACATCCCAACAGTGAAACACAGGGGTGGCCGCATCATGTTGTGGGGGTGGTTTGCTGCAGGAGGGACTGATGCACCCCGCATCTGTGTTTGCCTGCTCTATATGGCAGGGGTATTTCTAAAGGGGGGGGGGGCACGGGGTGCTACATCCATTGTGTGGAAGCCAGTGTAACACTGGCCTCAGATTAAATGATGTTCTGCCACTAGGGGTCTCTCAGTCTAAGCAGTAACAAAAGACAGAGTGTCCTCTTCCACAAAACAAAGAGCCCTGGAGATTAAAACTGGTACAAACACTCATGTTAAAAATGATTGTTTCTCTGACGCTGTTCGGTGGATACAGGCGGTCTCGAGGGGGCTGGGAGCCAAGCTGCCGTTAACATGTGATTTCCAGTGAATAAAATCCTTCATTCGGTTAAAATACATTGATCAAAATCATGGATTTCTTTATGTTTAAAAATTGGTGGAAACATTTGGACTAATGTCGCTCATGTTTCTTTCACCAGTGGAATTTGTTGTCAATATGTAACATGTTTAGATCTCTGACATTAATTTGGCGAGTACAATGTCGTTGTAACTATTGTAACTATTGTAACTACTGTAACTAGTGCAGGGAGGGCGTTTATGACCAGGAGAAAAATATGGAATGAAACTAACTTGAATGAATATGATTTATTTCAAGGAAAAATAAACAAATAAGAGTTTGCTGATACTATTGTGCTGACATTTATTTTGCTAAAATTGAACTTGGATCCTTTTTTATTTGCTGCTTAGTTTTTTATGATTGGTAAAAATTGTTAGGCGAGGTGGTGTGAACTTTTCTCAGAAACAGTTTGAGAACCACTGTTTTAACTGATGGAAACCATAAAATGTAATCATCCTTAAAGCAACATTAGGATACTAACATGTTAATGGTTGCTTAGTGTAAGAGCAAAAGCCTGTATCTCCATGTTTGATACATCAACAATACATCATGGCTGCTATTGTGGTTATAGACTTTTTTTGTTCTTGTGTGTCTGTGTGTTGATCTTGCAGAAAGAAGACTCGCTCACCTGCTTTTCCTCAGCTTTGGGGTGCTGTGTATCATACAAGCCATTCTCAATATTTCTTTACGCCTTGCTCGTGAGTATGGTCTCTTTGTTTTTGAAAATGTATTTCAAAACATGGCATTGTGTAATTTGAGATTTGCTAAGACAGTTGCAAAGACAGCTTCCCATTTTGCAAATATAACTCTCTGTGGTAATTTGACATGTTGCTGTAAAACTTAGCAGTCAAAGAAAACCTGAAAAGCATTTTGATTTATTAAGATTTTATTTAAAAAATGAATTTCAATTGAACAAATTTCTGTTTCTTTTCTACCAGTGTACTCGAGCAAGGAATCATCTCCCTTGGACTGCAACACAACTCATTTTACTGACCAAAAGAAGGCGGTGGAAATGAATTGTGAGGGAAAGAGGCCTGGTTATCATTGCAACAGACTACAAGAAAGATTCAATGCCTTGACCAGAGACAAAGACATGCTCGAAAACAGAAACAATGAACTCAACAACAAGATAAAGAAGTTGGAGGAGGAGAGGGACAGACTGAAAATGATGCTGAATGGTCTGAAAAAATCAAGTCTGCGGATCTTAACTTCTGGTCTTCTTCTTTTCTTCTTATTTCATTTTAATTATTATTTTTTTCTTAGAAAATAACCTATGCACTCAATGTTGTAGCTATATTAGGACCGATATTAGAAATCATTAGTTATGTTTACATTTATGTTTGTATAGATTTGTCAAGTCATTTATCATTGTCTGAGTTATTTTTGTACTTCAAGCTTCCCATCCAAATACATCAGAATCTAATATATATGTGTCATATATCGTTTGTTTATTTTTTCTTCCAGGGCAGGGTGACGGTGCGTCCTCTCAAAAGTGTCCTGCAGACTGGAGGGAGATCAACTCCAAATGTTACTTCCTCTCCAATGAGCAGAAGACATGGGGGGAAAGCAGAAAATACTGTCAGAGAAATGGAGCTGACCTGGTGGTGATCGACAGTGAACAGGAACAGGTACTGTTACAGTACATCCGTGTTTGTGTCTCTATGTGTGCGTAGGATATTCTTGATGGTGAAGAACAGTTACATTCTCTATTATCTTAATCTCAACAGGCTGCGTTGTACCGTCTGGATGGGGATGCTGATCTTTTGTTCTGGATTGGTCTGTATAACATCAATGGGATCTTTAAATGGGTGGATGGATCTGCACTGACTAAATCGTAAGGCCTTGAGCATACTCCTCAGTCTTTCTGATATCAGCAGCGCACAGATGAATACTTTTTAATTTGGGCAGGTTCACCTGTAGCAGTGCTTGGCTCATGAAAAATGACCAGGCTGCAAATCTTATGCTTGAATTAACACTGTTAGTATCTAGTATCATTACTATGTCAGTCCTGGCATTTTGAAAAAGTGCCAACACACCATAGCTTTTCACTTTTTCAATATTTGGAAAGAAATACATACATAATATAAATTCTCAAATATAAGCTGTATACAAGTTTGTAATAACACTGGAGGAGATGTAATTGCCTCCAGTTAGTAGAAATTCAGCACTATGTACATTTTCACAGCACTAACTCAGTCAGTACAATAACAATAAGTATCTGCTGCTCTGAGTTTTCTTTTTTTTTAACAGATACTGTTTTCATTTAATAATAATATGAATACACTTTCACTTCACAAATATCTGTGCAGAAATTTGTGCTGTGGAAATGTACATTACCCTCTAAACAACATAGTTTATCTTTGTAACGACCCCTGGGCTTCGCACTGTTAGTTGGACAAACTGCTGTCAGTCCAGTAATCAAACATCTCTCTGACCTCCATCACTGTATCGTCCTTTAGATTTTGGCAGGATGGTCAGCCGGGTGACGGTGGTCCCAACAGAGAGGACTGTGTGGAGATGTATCACTTCAACCCATTGAAGGCCAACTGGAATGATGCCCCCTGTGGACAAAAGCGGCGCTGGTTGTGTGAGAAAGATCAGAGTACCAGTTCACACTGTTAGCTGAAGAACATACGTGTCTGTTCATGTAAAATAATGTGCTTTTGAAGTTCACGTTTAAAAAAAACCCTCTGAAATAAAGCTGATTTTAAGCAATGATACACCATAGCATCTACAAAACTGAAACATGGGGAAATAAAATAAGCAAATCTGATTTGAGAATAAAACACAATGAATTTAATAAATGTGAACAAACTTTCAGCTACTTTGTGCAACTTGGTGATGTGTTTGGATACTGCAGTATATTATATACACCTTTGTGTAACTTGGAGGTACTGTGTGGTACACATTATGCTGTATGTATATAATGTATTTTCTGGTAAATGATTATAGTAACTGAGTGGGAACCTCCATTTGGCTTTGTTAGTGATAGTTAGCATAGTATATAAATTCATAGAAATAGAATATCAATCAAGAATCAATAGTGCAGACTAATATAAACATTGGTTGTCGTATTTCATGCATGTGCTTTAAAGTTATTGCTTGTAGTGTATTTCTCTGGGGAGGTTAATATGTTATGTATATATTCTATATTATGTTATGTGTAATATGTGTATGTAATATTTTGTCAGCTGCACACACACACACCCACACACACACACACACACATATAATATATGTATGTATGTATGTGTGTATATACATATATATGTATATATATATATATATATATATATACACACACACACACATACATACACATATAATGTATATGTATATGCAGCTTGCTGACCTGGTGATCCTCCAACAGGGGACAGGGTTGCTCAAGGGATGGCAGTGACAGTCAGTCGTTCCCCCATGGTCACGGATGACATTGCTCATCAGCTATATTTATATATGACATAACTCAACAGCTATATTTAGATATTTTGACAGTAGTATTTTTGCTCTAAGCACTGCTATATGCCTGTGAATGAGGAAGAATGTCAAAGTGGATGTGTAATTTTATTCTTTCCTATTTACGTTCTGCTTTCTGCACTGAATAGACAGTATTTTTGTCCTCTTGGTTGTTTTTATGTAGGCATAATCCTTTCAAGTTTAACTACTGCGATTTAATGTAATTGGCATAGAATATTAATTTGCCGTCTCTATAACATGTCTGTACAATGAAAGAACTGCACAGAGCAAAAACAGGTAACTGTCTTGTCAGGAATACTAAGGTTAGTTACAAAGCATGCAACAATGGCTAGAGCCAATATTATCAGCAGATCCAGTGTGTGAGCATGACTGTAAACTGAATAAAATCAACTGAGAGCAGTACATTAGAAAACATTCGAGATTGTAATATAAGTGTATTAATGATTATGCAACCATAACATTTTGTTCTATCACATTACATCATTAAACTACAAATTAAACTAGGAAACGCTCTATATTTCTACATGTGATTGAAGGCCAATGTGAAGAGATTACATGGTCTCCTTTTTATTAATTGCATGTAGTTTTTAGTATGGATATTTCCACATTTGACAAGTTGTCATGTCATGTCCATCAAAACACATGAGAAATGCATAGCACTATGAGCTGAGAAATCAATAAAATTGGCTATTCATTAAAATGTTTAATTTAGTTGATCTTCAGTGAATATGCACAAAAGTGAATTTTATTAATTTAATGATTGTTTAATGTTATTTTTTTTTAGGTACATAGCATGGATCAGGGGTCAGCAGTTAGGATCAACCATGTGCCAGTTTTTTTCAGCATTGTTCAACAAAGAGCCAACAATTACAGATGTGATGGAAACACTTTTGTTAGTGTATTTTATTTTATTTAGATATATTTTTTCCCACTGCTATCAGAGTCACAGGAAAATTATATTGATACTCATTCAGCAAAAACAGACTCATACACATAAATGTATGCTTTGTGTTGCACATTGATGGGATATACATACACAGTAAACAGGGCCTGTTTTTATTTGTTGTTGAATGAAAGAACTGTTATTGTTTCTGCCTTGGAAAAAACATTTCTATATGAATGAATAGTTCATAATGGTAAGACAGCAGTATTTGGTAATATGAAATGTCTGCAGCCCAGAATGTACTTAGTACACACTATATAAAGATATTAGAAGCCTCGTTGAAATTTTGTTATTTTTACTGAAAAAATCTTTCACCCCAGATGGGACTCGAACCCACAATCCCTGGCTTAGGAGGCCAGTGCCTTATCCATTAGGCCACTGGGGCGTCATCGGTATCGCGGGAGAATTTTGGCCTATTTATAATACAATATAACCTGCGAAATGGTTGGTATTTCCATGAAGGGGAATACATCTAGTTTACATGTGTAATTGCGGTATAAGAAATGTGAGTAAAAGAAATATATTTCGCATGAGAGTTGCAGCCGTTTTGCGCTGTTCAGTTGCTAGGCAACAGGGAACAAACCACTGAGTCAAGTTAAATTTGAGTGTAACACAGAAGAGCCAATACTTCCTGTTCACCTCTTTTACTTCAAAATAAATGTCACTCGAAAACAATATTCTAAAACCGTTGCAATCTTTGAACTTTTCCTTCGACAGTCATCCCAAACTTAGCATACAACCCGCTCAAACGGGGCCATAATGCCGCTTATGTTAGCACTTCGCCCTGAGAATGAGTTTAACTGTCTCGCTATATGATCAAGTGCTTTGCTTGTGCCTTTAATTTGAAAATAAAACAGAGGAAAACATAATCTATGCTGTCGGTGGCTTGACGCTATTAGCCAGAGCTAGCTAAAACGAACCAAGAGCTTACTTAGCAACAATCCTTACGAGGAGAACGTGTTAATTTCATCATTTACGATATCTGGCCACTTTCAATGAAAGATGAAACTAGGAGGCTAAAACCTAACGTTAGGTAGAGGACGTAACCGCTAACGTTAACAATTTGTGTTGTTATAGAAAGGAAAACCCAACGTTAGCTTTGTTAGTGATAAACAAGTCTCAGCTAGGTAAGAGTCATCTCTTCAAGACTCGTCGGCATGGTGAGTTAATGTTTCTGCACACTTAAATTTCATGCCAGGACCGTATTGATACTATAGCAGTCTCGTTGGCTCACTAAAACCCACCACAAGTCCACGGAAAGTTATGTGATCACCTGAGAAAATTAAATTTTGTTTTTGTACCTTGGCAGATCCTCTCTCGCGTGAAACCAGCAGTGGGAGGAAAGACACCGGTGAGCATCAGTGAGAAGAAGAAGAAAAACAAAACTAGAGTTCCCCGCTTGGAGGAATACCTGCAACAGAGAGACTACCTTGGGGCCCTGACACTGTTGGAGGTACACACACATGCACACACAAAACCAGCTCAAACCAGATCAAGGGTTTCTAATTGTGTATTAAACCGATTAAAGGGCCACCGCTCACTAAAAAGGACGGGTCAGAGGTCCTGTGCTGAGATGCATTCATGTATCACAAGAACCTCTGTGTGTGGTGTTCTGCAGGTGACTGACACCTGGAGAACTTGCAGTGTCACATTACAATTATTATTATTATTTACAGGTAATAGAAGTAATACAAGATTATAATTTATTAGTAATTGCTGAATAACCTATGAAAAGGGTGTTGATTTCAAAGAAAAATTGATTCAGAGAAATTAATTCAATCAGTTAAGTCCAGTGTATCATCAGTTCTTCATATCGCTCCAAATTCAAGGTGGCATGGGTGAGGTAGGGGTAGGATGTAAGAGCAATAGACAGGGCAGCATGGAGGATGTATGGAGTAGCAGATGAGGTCAGACTGGGCACATTACACTAAGGAGAGATAAACTACTTTATTATTGCTGTGAAGTGGTCACACTCACAGCAAATTCTACAAATATAATGTAAGAGAAGTTATGAGTTCCCACTCTTAAAAACAATAATGTAAGTGGTATGTTAGTTACTGTCTTTTACCTGCATGATTTTGTTTTTTCAAACTTCAAGGATGAAGCAACCATATCCTTCAGTAAATTATATCCATATGTGATGGCTCTTTTTCAGTAGTTTGGTGAGCTGAGATGGGACTGCTTGGCTAACTTGCTAAGTTTTTTTTTTAGTGCAATTCCTCCTGCAGATTACCCTGTATAGCCCTGGAATAAAAGTTTCGGAAATAGAATATCTTCCACATCTATGCAACAGACAACTCTGTATTAATGAAGTGCTGCTGCTGACGTGTTGCTGTGTCATCTCCAGTTTCAGAGGAGTATTGGAGAGAAAGAGGAGCATGCAGACCTCTGGATTGGTTATTGCGCCTTTCACTTGGGTGATTACAAGAGAGCTATGGAGGTATTTTTTGTGTATTTCTGTGTATGTGTGTGTCTCAATGAGTGTGTGTAGCTAGGTACACAGAATTTTATATAAAAAGCCCTAAATGCAGTATGTAAATTCTAAGCCGGTCTAATAAATGGATAAGGATGTGACTGACAGTTTTTATAAGGGCTGAACAAATTTGTAATATTTGCTTATCATGCCCTGACAGGAATACAAGTCTCTGACAATGAACCCTGATTGTCCTGCTGAGGTGTGGGTCTATCTGGCCTGTGCCCTGTTTTTTCTGGGGCTCTATAAAGAGGCAGAGGAGGCTGCGTCTAAGGGTAGGCATTTCAGCCACTTTACTTTAACCTACATTTTGTACGACGCTATTCGGGGAAAAACATTTTCTCGCTCATAAGTAATCTGTGGCACTATTAAGCTTTTTATGTGAACTGTGAACTACTTTCAGTTTTTTGGGAACCTGTGGGATCAAATTAGTTTAAATAAAATACATTGGAGTCTGACCACCAATCAATTGCATATATACAGTACATTTGTACACACTAAGTTCACCATTTAACTTAAGGCAAAATTTTGTTTGCCTCTCATTCATCATCATTCAAATGTTAATAAACTATAGGATGCACAATTATGAAAAATAGTGACATATATTGTTGCGATGTAGTCTTTTCATTAGTCTCTAATAAAAAGTAAATAAAAGTCAGCAAAATGTCATCCAAATGTCTCCAAGTTTACTATGGACACCCAGAATTTCCACTAGTTTTCCTGTACAAACTTTGGTGTAAATCTGACAAAAGGTAGTCCTCTTGTGCACCATTTGTTATTTAAGTGGTCTAGTAATTTATTTCTATGGGTTTGCTGTACAACTTTAGGTCCACTAAACCACTCTCCAGTCCTTGTGTAATTTTGTATGCTGGATCAACTTACAATGCTGTTTAATCGGTTATTTCACTAATGAGAGTAAGGTTATGATGTTAATGAATTGTGCCTCTATTGTCGTGTGCTTTGCTGGCTAACTAAATTTGGTATCTCTTGTTCTCTTAGCACCAATGTCTCCACTCCAAAACCGGCTCCTTTTCCACTTGGCTCACAAGGTTGAAAAATGAATCATATTTTACTATTATGTGTTTACTTGTCCTCACTGCCATCACTCAATCACTAAAGTCACTCCTGAGAAACCCTGCAGTGTTATATACACATTTATATCTGTGATAATATGAGATAAACTTAGAGGTCTGTGCAGTACTTTCATCTTGTTTTACCTGGGCTCAGTAATGAGGAAAAAAAATTGTGTTTCCAGCGTTTGTGTAATAGATCTTATTTGCTCCTTACCTTATTTCTGTGCATATCACTTTAAATGTCATCTCAACATAGGTCTAATAATTCTACCTTGTTGTTTCATCTCTTCAGATATATATGAATTTCCACAGTTTTTCACCTGTTTGATCTAAGGTGTAATTTATGTCTTCCTTCTGTCCCTCCAGTCTCAACCCAGTCACCCTAATCAGATCCCTGTTTGAAGTTTTCCTCTTTTCTTCATGTCATGTCTCAGTTCAACGATGAGAAGAAGCTGATGGGTTTCCACCAGAACCTGGAAGATGTGACAGAGGATCAGCTGAGCCTGGCATCCATTCACTATATGCGGTCGCACTACCAGGAAGCTATAGACATCTATAAACGGCTTCTTTTACAGAACAGGTCTGTGCTTTCCCTGCCTCTTACTCTCTTAAATTAGTTTCACAGATCTGCTGGACACATGTACCTTCCTAGCACCACCTTGGCAGGTGTTGGTGGTTAATGCTTGAGTATTAGACTTCATGGGCTTCACGCCTTGTGGAACCATAAAGATAATTCAAGCATCAGTGATGCAGACCTGCTGAGCTAGCTTCTAACACTGATATACTGTATCTGTAGTAGTGAGGGTAAAAAATCGAAAGACTTTGATTTGGCAACATTTCCTGTGCCGCTTTTGTTTTTGTGGCATCTGTGGCCAAGGCGCATGCAAGTTTTCTTTTACTAGATTGACAGCAAATGTGACAGCTTTAAGCTTCAATTATATTCCCTTGCTGACATGCACAGGGACAGTTGCGGACACCACATACATGTTGCTGTTCTTATTATAATACTTTCTAGTCCACTAGTGCCACGCGGACATGCCATAAAATCTTCACTTTTGTCTGATCATAAATTGGAATGAATTCTTTATTCACTTATCTAGTAATAATTTAATAACATCATAGTGACAATGAAAATAGTGATTAAATTGGTGATGTCTTCTTAGATAAGCAAAATTTCCTTTTCTAAACAGCTATAAATATAACCAAGTTACTCATTTTGTTAAGAATATTGATGAAATAAAAATATGTAGAAAATACTCACAGCAGTAAAGTGACACGAATAACGTCTTGTATCCATCAACTACAAGAAATAATATATAATAAGTAGTGATATAATTTTACATCTTGTTTTCTCAGAGATTTCCTGGCCCTCAAAGTATACGTGGCTCTGTGTTACTACAAGCTGGACTACTATGATGTGTCCCAGGAGGTGCTGGCCGTGTACCTGCAGAGCATCCCTGACTCCACTATTGCCCTTAACCTTAAGGCCTGCAACCACTTCAGGCTCTACAATGGCAAGGCAGCAGAGGTAAACAGTGTCTGACTGCTGCATACCCTAGCTGGTGGTTCTTCATATTGACATGTTTTCACATTTCCATACACAGATTTTTATGTTTCGTGTTTAGTCTGTAGCAAAGATAACTGCGTAAGAACTGGTACTGGAACTATTTAGAAGGCAAACATAACAAGTCACCATTTACATTAATTTATCAATGAAATTGCTTACTTTATTTTCAATGCGAACACCAATAGGTGAACGCTAAAAATTTCAACAAAAAATATAATCACATCTGTATTTAGTGAGGTTAATGTATAGTATCTGTGCTGGTACAGTAAATCTTTGTTTATTGGCTGATTTTATTATTTTATTTATTTATTTTTATTTGCATGTTCCATTACAGTTGAGTCAGTAGCTGCTTATCCTTTTCATTTCTTTGTGGACAGTAACCAGTGGTAGTTTTTACTTAATGTGTGCATTCTCTCCCTCTCAGGCTGAGTTGAAGAACCTAATCGACATTTCCTCCTGCTCCTTTGAGTTTGCTAAGGAGCTTATCCGACACAACCTGGTAAGCTCTTCACAAGCTCTGTCTGTGAGTGTGTAGGTGTGTGCATACACTAGTGACTTACATGCCGATTTTCACACTCTGAATCTCTCCCTTGTGTTCTGCAGGTGGTGTTTCGTGGTGGGGAGGGGGCATTGCAGGTGCTGCCTCCTCTGATCGATGTGATCCCCGAGGCCAGACTCAACCTGGTCATCTACTATCTCAGACAAGGTGTGTAGGTGTGGCATGGCAGTTTTCCGGAACAAGCAAAACAAGAAAAATATTTCTATTTAAATGCATCACACGTTTTATTATAAAATGATAAGAGAAAAACTGATGATATAGTATCTTTAGACCTTTATTTACAAATGCAATCACCTATTCATCCAGGAGAAGTTATGAATACCCAAATGTAATAAAAGAACATATTTTTATTATAATGTATGGTATTATTTTATCAGTTTTAAGTAAGCTGAAAATAACACAATAGTATACAACACAATGAAATCCCACTCTTATGTGTCCATGCTGTGTTGAACGAAAAAAGTTGAAAATATAGAAGATAATTATATTTTTCCTTATCCGGTCTTTAGCATGCAACATTTCAGCATTGTAATTTCAGCATTCTTGTTTTTATGTTGATGTATAGTTGTTTTAATTTATTGGAAACTTGCCCGAGTTCAAGGATTCACATTCTCATTTTCATATTTCCAGATGATGTCCAAGAAGCTTACAACCTCATCCAAGATTTGATGCCCACCACACCTCAGGTGACGATATTGAGTTTCAATGTGATGTTTCATTTGTTCTCTGTATTGTAACTACTTGGCCTCAGTGAGATCTGCTCAGTTTCACTTTAACATAAAAGATAATATAGTGGCTGTGTTTAACTAAAACCAGGGCTCATATTGACTATTTTGCTGTACGGTTTATAGGTTTTGCTCTTTTTTTAATAAAAATGTACAATTAAAACTACAGTAACACCAGATTAAACAAAGCCTGTTAATAAATCTCTTCTTCTTGTTCCACGTAAGAGTTCCTGAAGAGCTTTTTCTTTCTTCGGAATTTTTTTGTACCTTGAAAAACATCTTCATGTCACCTGAAACTGATGGATTGTTTGGCTTTTGTATCTCTGTTATTCATTTTTTAACTTGTTGAAATGGATTTTGATGTTGTTTGAAAAAACTGCAGATCAAATGATTCACTCTGATCATTTACTGTTTCCTCAGGAGTATATTTTGAAAGGAGTGGTAAATGCCGCATTGGGACAAGAAATTGGATCAGTGAGTGTTTCTGTTTAACTTGAAGAGTTACATGCAAATAAATGAGAAATAAATGAGATAACAGTGAGTGTGAGACATTATCTTTTTATCTTTTCAGAGGGATCACTTGAAAATCGCACAGCAGTTCTTTCAGCTGGTCGGAGGCTCAGCTAGTGAATGTGGTACGTTGAATAGAAGTTTGATCAATATGATCCTTTTAAAGAAACACTGTGCGAGCGTGTGTATAACATTTTTTGTCCTTTCAGACACTATTCCTGGCAGACAGTGCATGGCCTCCTGCTTCTTCCTCTTGAGGCAGTTCGAAGATGTTCTCATATATCTAAACTCAGTCAAGGTTAGTGATGTTCAGTACAAGGCACACATTATATGGCATATTCCATTGAAGACTTCTGTGTTGTTACTTTACTGTGGTATCAGTCTGTAAGATGGAGCTGAAAAAAAGACTCCCACACACTGGGTGAGAAGTGTCACTTCAGATGACAAGTGGTGCTTTACAGATGCAGGTGTGTGTTTGTGTGTTTCTCCCCATGATTTGTACTACCAACAAAAAGCTGATATGCTCTTTATTTCTGGACACGTGGGCACTCGTCCTTTTTTTTATGTGGGCATAACTGTTCTTTTCTCTCTGCAGGGTTACTTCTATAATGATGACACGTTCAACTTCAACTATGCTCAGGCTAAAGCAGCTCTTGGCAACTACAAGGAAGCAGAAGAGGTACCTTACTTCAGCAAACATCAACAGATTCATCTGACTGAATTTACTGATCATTGTATTGCACTAACTTTAATGTTTCTTTCAGGTTTTTCTGCTCATTCAGAGTGAGAAGATCAAGAATGACTATGTTTACCTCAGCTGGCTGGCACGATGCTGTATGTATAGTAGTTATAGTGATGGTAGTATATTTGATAACAAAAATCTTTCTGCAAGGAAATTTCATTCATGTAGCATGATACATACAAGAGATTTACATACATTTAAACTTCAAGGGAATTGAAAACAAGTTTTAAAAGTGTGACAAAATGTGAACATATATATACATTATTAATTCCAAGGCATTCCTCATATAAACGTGAACATAAAGATTTTAAAGAAATATAAGTCACAAAAACAAAATAAAACAACAGTAAATTGCAGTAGAAATAATTGAAGTTCACTAATTATAAAATGATTAACAAAGTCCAGTTAAATCCAATTTCAGTCAGAAAGTGATAGGTATGAAAAAAGATTTGAGAACTCAGAGCATAGTCAAGGTACCTTTACTTGTTCAACTGTCAACAGATCTCAGCTAAGCTTCAGCACAAAGGGAGTAAAACGATTAAGTGTTGAGATGATTGATACTGTAAAAATAATAACGCAAAGTCCCTAACCCTAACCCTACAGGTAAATACCACAGGCCACCAGCATGAGAATACCAGACTGCTCGTGAGGTGTTTGTTCAGTAAGAAGGCTGGGAGTTGACATTTTGCATATATTATAACGAGTGAAAAACCTCCAAAACAGGCGCAATGTGATCCAGTCCCTTAGTTTTCACTGGCAGACTCGCTGCTGCATTTGGCACGAGCTGCATTAAGGTAAGGTCTTTTTAGGTAGTTATGAAAAAAGTTACAGTAGTCTACAGCTGTTGGCATAAAAGCATGGAGAGCACCTTCAACCCTTTATACGTGTTCACTGAGGCTGAGATCTGAATCAAACATCACTGCCAGATTTGTAGCTTTAGGCCTGTAAAGAATTTAGGGTTACTATTGCACTCGGCTAGTGTTACACTCAGCACCTCTAAGAAATGGAAATCTCCATGAAAAGATTTTTCTCCCTTTCTTGGCTTAATCCAGATCAATAAAACCTGCCCAAAGGCATTTAATATTTTCCAAATTTGAGTCTATAAAAGTTGCTGAAACTGGCTGTGAATGATGGATTATTGAACTCTCGTCTTGTTCCTGTCAGACATCATGAACCAGAAGGGTCAGCTTGCCTGGGAGCTCTATCTGAAGATGGGCACTTCCTCTGACTCCTTCAGTCTGCTGCAGCTCATTGCCAACGACTGCTACAAGGTAACATCATCCTCTGTCTTCTGCCTCTCATATTGCCTTCGCTTACCACTTACCATTTACCATTTAGTTTACCACATTAGTGCTGAAACGATTAGTCAATTTAACAGTTGTCGATTGGCGGACAATGAATCACAAACTATTATGATGATCAGATAATTGTTTAAATTACATATCAAGCAAAGATTGTAACCATTGGCTGGTTCCAGCTTCTCAAATGTGAGTTTCGATATTTTATATTATTGCGTATTGACTAACTTTGGCTTTTGGACATTTGGTCTGACAAAAGAAGCAATTTGAAGACAGATCACTGGGAAATTTTGATTGGCACAACTTTTGTATTTGTTAGTAGGGCTGCAACTAATCATTATGTCCATTGTCTATTAATCTGCAGATGATTTTCGGATTTATCACTTAATTGTTTGGTCCATGAAATGTCAGACAATAGTACATACATACACATATATAATATACAATTTGAGCTCTGTTTAGGTACCATTGCACCATTGTCTTCATCTGGCTGTTTCTTGGTTAAAATACCATAATTTATTGCTAAAGGTCGGAGCATTCAGTCCTGTGTGACACAATTCCAAAGCATAACCATTTTCTGAATTCACATATGTCAAATGTATATAGCTTTTCCCAAAAATCCACCTTAAATGGAGGCATTGCACATTTCATTTTCTACCTGCCTGTTTTTATGATAGTCTTATTTCATACCAATTTTGGCTGTGTTATTGATTATAGTTTAACTTGGCTGCGGTCATGTTGTTAGAGGTGCTGTCTGTCCTTCAAAAGGCTCTCAGTTTGCTCACCATATTTTTGAAATGCAGTGAGCAAAGTGTGAGCAGACATGTAGTGCTCTGGATAAGATCTTTCTGTGGAAACAGACTGCTCATTTGGTAAAGAGGTGGTTTAATCTGTGCCCAGAAAGTCAATATGTTGCCGTGGGTCACGACTACAACCTGCTGTTTCAGATGGGCCAGTTCTACTATGCAGCCAAAGCCTTTGATGCACTGGAGAAGCTGGACCCAGAATCCAACTACTGGGAGGGCAAGCGAGGGGCATGTGTCGGCATCTTCCAGCTCATACTGGCAAACAAGGAGTCCAAGTATGTTTGTCTCTTTTTTTTTCCTGTGCAGTAGTTTGGGTGCTGATTTTCTCTTTTCTACATTTAAAAACATTTTTCTTCATAATCCCTGTCATTACCCTGTAAAATTGGTAAAATCTGGACTTGCACATCAAATATTTGTGGTCTGTTTGAGTGGGTGTGATGTCTAAATAAAAGAAACATGAGAGATGGTGCATTCTTGATCTAATCTTGTTCCCTCACATATCCTGTTTGTGTTCTAGGGAGACACTTAAAGAGGTGGTGCCCTTGCTGCGAAATTCAGGAAACCCCCAGGTTGAATACATCATCCGAGCTCTGAGGAAGTGGGCCAAAGACAACAGAGTCCTCCTCTCATGACAACCCTCAGCACTGAACTTCACCTCACTGTAGGCCTACATCAAGAGTAGCTACATTATGCAGAAATCAGCAGCTGTTACAGTGCATTTGGTCATTTTCAGTGACTTGAATGAATGATATCTATGCCACATGAAGAAATATTGAGCTATTATCTTTCATATAAAGTTGTGTTTTGTATTAAAAATACAAGGTTTGAATTGCAATTATCTATGTACTTATATATTTGTATTAAAATGTGAAGTGTTTTGTAAATTACTCTTGTGTTGTCAGTGATTCATTTGTGTGAATTTCATTTTAGTAACTGACCTTACACATTTTATTTTCAGCTTTTATTAAGTAATACAAAAATGCATGAACAATTTGCAGAACAACAAAGAAAAAAACACTTAATGTATAAAAGATATGTACTGTAGAGGAAGAGGAAAAAGGAAAAGAAACAGGTATAAGAAAAACAAAATGAGATTATTATTATTTTTATCCCTAGTATACGGTAAGTCAGGCTTCAAAACGCTAGATCCTACAATTCCCACAATGCAACTCAAATGTCAGTTTAAATCTTCCAAACTTTATGCCCTCTCTCTGTATTACAGATTTTCTGTCAAACATTTGAATTCTCAAGTCCAACCTGACCCTGATGACATGATCAGGGTCATTTCCTTAGATTTGATAAAGCTCCTTCAGAGGTGAACACAGAATAGATTATAGAACTGTTTTTTCAAGCTGAGTTGTTCACCTTGATGATCAAGCTGGTCCTTAATGTGTAAAACTGGGGAAATGTGCAGGACTTGCTACACTGCACAGAGGGTATTATAGGTGGGGCATTGGAACAGTCAACATCAAACTTTTGCTTTGGGGCTTTGTAACTGGTTAATCAACCCATCCATCCTTCACAGAACAGAAAATACAAGGATCTCTGTCAAATGTAAATGTATTCACACCATGTCTTGTAATTAGCAGCATCAGGAGCATCTCTGTTACACTTCAAGTCAAAATGTATTTTAGTCATCGTTACTTCTCTTGGATGTTTGACCCTCACTGTGCTGAATGATGCATGAGCAGAGTTTGACAGTGGCGGATTGTTTTTATGTTTTCACCTTCATCTGCTAGAGGTGAAGATTTTGTCTGAGCTCACTTTAAATCTGAGTTCAAGGTGTGTACCTGCCAGCACGATTTGCCACATCACAATCCGTCTGGAAGCAAATCCTTTGCCCTGTTCTTCAAATGTGGTTTGGCTAACTCAAGCTAACATGTTGTTGTCAGGCTAAATAACAATGTTATTTCTCATCCAGCTAGTTTGGTTCTTTGAATGCAGTTTGATGATTTATTTCTTAATTATTGGATGACGTTAACTGGAGTAACAGTGCACTCTAATTTTGAAATAAAGGTAAAATGACTGAAGAGTTGAAACCATGATCAGCATTCATATGACTGGCTGAGTGCTGATATTCCCAGCATGCACTGGGGCAACAGATTCATGGACACAAGTCTCCTTTCAGGAGTGTTCCTGCATTGTTACAGATGTCCTTTGTTTCACATTGTGCTCCACACTGTTTCCACACATTCGTCATTAACCTTTAGCTATTACCAATGAATGTGGTCACACTATCAATAACGCTGGTGCATGATTGTGACGTTCTCCCTGACAAAAATGCAAAAGATTTCTAAGTGATATAAGTCTGCTACGAAAACAAAACCTCATGTAAATCTCTTAATAGGCAGCTTTAATCTCATGAATACTTTCTAGCAATGTTTTGGCATTTTAATGTCAAATAAAATGCTGTATGTTCTGGCTCCATTTTCAATCGAGTCTATGTTTCTTTGGTCCCAGCATCTCAAAATCTGGACTTTTTCAGAGAACAAACCTTTGTTTTATATTTTACAATGTTTAAGTATAGAAAATTAAATTATGACATCAACAGATCCTATGGTTCCTCAATAACCTGCATATTCTTACCTAAAATCATAATTATATCAACATTAATTATATCTCCAAGAAAGTGAACTATTTGTACATGAAAATTTGTTTATATATGGGATTCACCCTACAAACCCCAACAAACTGGCAATAAACTGCACATTTAAAAGTTTGGGCTTGTTGCTCTGACAAGGGTACAAAATGAATTTTAAACCAGCTTTGAAGAACCAAAAAAATCCAGATTCATGTCAAATTATCAACATTATAATCTGGAACTTGGTTATATCCATGTATAAAGAACGAGCCACTGGTCCAGTGCAATTTACACAAGTGTGATGTGGAAACCAGGTCACATACAGAGGGAGAGGGCCTTTATCCAGTTGTTAAACTTTTGAAAAATAATAAATACTTACATATTCATAGAGTATGGATTTTGAAAGGTGCACATATCATTTTAAGAATCTTTAACCATGCATTTGAACTTTCTTTTTAATGGAAAAACCACATTAGACACCAATTATTATTATTCAAAGCAGACTATTGTTATATATCTGGTGGGGAAAACAATATATCGCCAAGTGGTGATCAGTGTAAGTTAATCAGCTGTGTTGGGGTGACAAGGCCAGTCACCTGGCTTCCGTTTAGGATTTGATGTTGGAGTGTGAGCGGGTGCCATTGTAGAAAAATGCAGAGTTCAGCATTTTCAGACAGAGAGGGGCACCAGGTGAAAGCTGTCGGCTGAGATGAAGCTGTTAGTCGGTGTGTGGAGGCACCCGGCACTCGCACACTTTATAAAGGTCATAATAGTACTAATAGTGTTGTTATTATCGCCTGTTGTGACAGAGGCGGGTTTAGGATCGGGGCACGCACTGATTGGCCATGGTGATCCCCCCCTCGTGTCACGATGGTTCCGTTTCGTGCGTATGCGCAGGCGCAGCGACCCCTCTCTTCTGATATTTTATTTACTCCCGAAACCCAAGATGGCTCCTGTGAATGTCTCGGTCCCATAGCAGATTGAGGATGCAAGTAGCTGCCGAAAAAACAACTTTTCCCCGACCGTCGCATCCCCTGGAGTTCAATTCGTATGGTGCGGAGGAGGCCTTGACATCCGTCTAGGCACCGAGCAGCCGTCGGAGCTTCGCGAAACCTTCTTCAATCCACCAATTTGGAGTAGTTTCGCGAAGTAGCTCTTCTCCTCGCTGTCGCTGTCTGTCCGGAGCGAGGTTCAGGCAGGCAGCTCATCCAAATGGCCGAACCGAGAAAAGTGCAATTTGTCACCCTCTCGGCCTTCGCAGCTGGAGCAGCCGCGGAGTCTAGGAAACGCCGGCTGGAGGATGAGGCCGACTTCAGCTTCGTTAGAGCCGGGGAGGTCGAGGCAGCGACCGGGGCAGGAGGTGCTGCCAGCAACGGTCGTCTCGGTAAAACCGGCGACAGGGACAAGGCAGGAGCCGAGAAGAGGGCGACGGTGCGGCTCAACCTGCCTCTGTCCGAGCCCGACGACCGCTCCTCCGCCGAGTTTAATTACGGCGAACTCATTCAAAACCTCCAGGTAGGATCTCCCAGTTTAACTAACATTACCAGGCCGGTGAGACTGGAGCTGGAGTTAATTTTAATGCTCTTGGAAGTGTTTGTGTGGACTTGTCATTGCTAAGTAAAGGAGGGGGGGAGAGTGCACCTTGTCCTTCGTGGACTAGCGTGGTTGAAACTGACCATTAGTGCGACTCAACACAAAAGACAGCGGCAGTTTTTTTGCCACTCATCCAGCCCGTCGACTCTGTGCTTTCCAACTTCAGCTGCGCTCTAACAGATTGTAGCCTTTTAACGAGGAACCTCCTCTTTTTTTTTTTTTTTTTTTTTTTTTTTTTTTTGCACATGTCGAGATCAAGCTTATCTAGTGCTGCTACCTGTGTCCTGTTCACTCAGACTTGCCCAGCAACAGCTCAGTCACACAGCCATTTCAGCACTTGGGAATGCCACATGCAGTTTGGCCCTCTGGCTGCGGGTGATAGATAGATGAGAGAGCATTGCTGATGGAAGTACCAGGATGTAGCATGAGAGCAAGGCAAATGTCAGAGCCGAGGGATCAAAGAGAGGCTCGCCTCATTTTGATCCTGGGCAGTTAGGACTATAATGTTGTTTTTCATAAGTGGAAAATTTGAAAAAAGTTTGCAAACCACAGAATAATTAAATATTTCTTATTTGAATGCAAAAGACCGTCATGCCTGCACCATGTTTGGAATATTTTCTGGTTTTTGGATTCAGTTATTTTAAGTTTCATGGCAATATTGTGATGATGTGTTCATATTTTATGACTGGGCTTTTCTTTTCTTGGCAATTTGAGCACAGGGTCAGCGACAAGATAGCACATGGAAGCTGGTAGTGTTTCAGTGTGGGGTGCACTGAAACTGTCTAACCCTGTATCTGTTGATTCCTGTTCATGATCTTTAATAGTCAATTTTCAATATTTGTTCCAGGCAAAGAATAAACCTCCAAGTCTGACTTCAGCCCCCAATCCCAGCAACCCCTTCGATGATGAGGAGAGAGAGCGGCTCCAGGTTGAGGCCCTGGCAAAAAAGTTTGAAAATAAATATGTGAGTTATTTTTATTTTATTGCTGCATTTTGAAGGTGTACTCATCTGACCATGTTAAAATTATCACCTGACTGATACTGGATATACCAATATAAATATTTTAGGATGTAAAAAGTCTTATAATCTTATATTGGCTGATAAACGCATAACATAAACAATGTGGGACATTTAACAGTTGAAAAATGAACTTGTTAGTGTTCTCTGGGAGGGAAATCATGTAATGCTGACAGTTTCTAAATCACTTCACATATCTTTGGCATTTCAGTAGTCCAGTGTCTGCATTAAGCTCAGCTATCGGCTGACATATTAGTTAAAATTACTGTCAGTGTTTGTTTGAGTAACGTCTTATAGTCATTGGTTAGTAGGTTTTTATTTTTTTTGTGAATTTGAACTATCCGGTAACAAATATTGTCTGATTCATTTTTTCCATTAATGTATACCATAAACATAACAATACATCTGGCTAATATTGACCAATATATAAAAAAAGTTGTTTGTTTGTATACTTAAGAGGACCAGATCACTCGCATACAACAGTCACCTGGAGAAAGTGATAACACCTTTCTCAAGCCGTTTTAAGTTTAATGTAAAGGAAACAGGAAAGGAATTTTCATGTGACTCAAAAACACAATATTTGGGTTTGATTTTTTTTTTTTTTTTTTTTTTTTTTTTTTTTTTTAAAGGGTAATACAGGGAAGAAGAAGAAGAAAGACAGAATGCAAGATTTGATTGATATAGGGTTTGGGTATGATGAGACAGACCCCTTTATTGACAACTCAGAAGCTGTGAGTATCCTTCACTTTATTAATAATGAGGTGATTTTTCACTTATGTGTCTGTTTTTTTCCAGTTTGTCGCTTTAGTTTAGTCAGATGTCTCTCTTTGGTCTTTATAATAACCTTCTTTTCTTGTTCTCTTTTCCACTTTTATTATTTACTGATTTATTTGCTTACATTCCTGAACTGCTGTTCTCTCGTCTCATTGTGTTGAGGTAGACATTACTTGTCTGTGATTAAATATTTATTTCCTGGCTTGATGTTTCAATACAGTACATTCAAAGGCATTTCTAAAGATAGACACGTGTCCCTTATTACAACCAACCTGAGACTACAGTCTAAAATCGTCCTCATGACTCATGAATACGTACGTGCTCCTTGTGTCCGCACGGGGATATGTCATTGTTTTTGTTTGACAGTGTTTGCCACTCAGTATTCAGAGCATATCACTCTCTGTCTGACTGTAATAGCTAGAATTATGCTCTTTGTATGGATTCTCTGCCATTATACGATATTTGTTGTTTTGTTTTGATAGCTGTCCTCTCTGCACTCGCATATCGGCAGCGCCTGTTTGACCCTTTTTTCTGTTTTGATATGCTCTATGATGGAAAAATGTTTTCATCTGTGGCCTGAGGGACTGTGATTTTTTTTTTTTTTTAGTGATTTATTTATTTTGGCGCACAAGTCGTCCATTTTCACTGACCAACAGAAGAGCACAGGCTACTTTGTGAAATGTTAACAAAAACATTATCAGTTACTCAAAATGTTTTGAAATATGGAGATGATGTTGGCTTTTTGCTTTGTAAGAGGATTTATTGTTTTTAAGTTTCCAGTGATCTTATACCACAGTCTGTCTTCTGTTGTTATTTTTCTCAGTATGATGAGCTGGTGCCTGCCTCTCTAACCACAAAGCTGGGGGGATTTTACATCAACACTGGCACACTGCAGTTCAGAGCAGCTTCTGACTCCGAGGGAGAGGAGGGCAAGGTGAGTCTACCTTGTTTTTATTCATACGGTTTTTAATTTTGTTTAGTTTACTTGACAGGGTCCATAAAATCACACACTGCTACAAAAAATAAGAATGACGTGTAGTCTAACACTTTGTCTAACTATACACATTTAGCCTACCCTCACTGATATAATTAGGTTGGTCAAAGTAATAGAAACGCCGTTCAGTGAAATGCAATGCTATTTCAGCGGCACCACAAACTGCAGCCTCCAAACTAACCATAAAGTTAAATCAACACCTCTAAAACGGTCTCAACACAAACTTAACATTTTAATCTTCATGAAGGAGGATTTATTGAAGGATGGTTGTATTAGACTGCATCAGATTTAGCTTGGTGTACCTAATAAACTGGCAACAGAGTGTGGATCATGACCATTAAACTCACCATTCACTCTAAGCCAAACAGCCAAGTTATTTTTCATTTATGTTTAAAAGTCCTATTTATATTTAGCCACGTTAGCAAGGTGGCTCTAGGGGTGTCATTGTCAGTTAGGCCACCACTTTGGTCCAGACCGAAATGTCTCAACAACTGATGAATGGATTGACATAAAATTTCATACAGACATTCATGGTCCCCAGAGGATGAATCATATCGACTGTGGTGATCCCCTGACTTTTCCTGCCTTAGCTAATTAACAATTGTTTGCATGCTAACATGCTAAACTTAGATTAGTGAGCATGATAAATACTAAACCTGCTTAAATAACAATGCCAACATGCTTGACGGGTTAGCATTGTCATTGAGAGCATGTTATAATACTGCTGTAGCATTTAGCTCAAAACACTGCAGTGTCCAAGTATAACCTCATAGCTAGAATATCTGGACTCTTAGTCTTGTGTTTTCAATGCTCTACCTGTCTTATAAAAAAAATCCTGATCTCCCTGTGCCAAGTTCAGTGAAGCAAAACGACACCTTGGACATTGTGGACAATTGCTGGTCCAGGAAATTGTAATGTATCATAGAAGTTATGAATTTTATGGTTTTATTTCTAACTTGGAGAAGTGTGGGGTTCAGGGCCAAACCACACGTTGGATCACATCAATCCTGATGAGACATATGAATGTCCCCAACAAGAGCTTGATTTTCATAGGTTTTAGTGAGATATGATGCAGACATTATCTTTCACCACATCAAGAGTGAACCCTGAAGGGACTGGTGCACACTCTAACAAAACACACACACACACACACACACACACACACACACACACACACACACACACCACAGACAGAATTGATCCTTTGGCATTGTGCACTCTCGTCATCTGCTGATTTGACTTAAAAAGTGTATGTGGTCTTGTTTCAGAAGCCGAATGACGAGAGGGGGCAGGTGATTAAGAAGAGGAAAAAGAAAGAAGTGAACAATGTGGAAGAGAAGAACCCGAAGAAGAACAGAGTACCTAAACAAGGGTGAGAATCATGGCAGTATAGTATTGTTGTCTTTTGTCAGTTGGTGAAGTTATACTAACGTATGCAAGAGATTTTTGGGTTAATCTTAATTAAAAAGTGTAATGCATGGCTCATGAGTAGCTGAGGATGCTATAACTCCCGCCATGTCACTCAGTAAGTTCTTGTCATAAGGCCATCACTTTCCACGCACCTGTAAAATAGACCTTTAAGAAAAATCTCCCATGTAATGATTCATGATTCATTACCATTAATCCAAGCTACTGAAAAAAAATGTCACTTCAAAATGTCAAAAACACACAGACACTGTTATGTAAATGGCTTTAAAAGTTGACCTTTTGGACACCCATGGATTTGTGGGCCATTGTGAATATGTGATGACGCATCTGTCCACTCTACCTGCTAATAATCCACCCCCTCGTGAGACATTATACTCCTCTGCTTTTGTGCACACCCTCTCATACATCTATCATGAGGCGGGGATGCTGACTGTGACTTGCTCTTTGCTGCTGTGACAAGCCAGAGCCACCTTCTAGAAAACGCTCCATTATCCACACTCAGATAGGCCGAATACTCCAACATGCCACCATTCTGAAAACAACTTCCAAAAATAGCTCCAGCTATTGCTATTGTGCCATTATGAAACGGATGATGTTATATATGGTTGTGTGTGTGTGTCGGATCTTTCAGAGCAGACTGCAGGTTAATCCTTCAGAATCCCCATAGTTCCACGCTCCCCTAATGTTTCTGAGTCGTCTTTGTCAGCGTGTGTCGATGCCTCAGTTGTGTGAAAATGTCACTTACTGTATTTGTGGCATGTGTTTAATTTATTCTTCATCTTGCACTTTCACCTCCATCTGCTCTTTTTTCTGTCTTTCTTCAATGTAAATGAATTGTCTTAGTTCCCTCGGCAGGATTTTGAAGACCAGCTGGTGGATTTGTTAAAAAATTACGAAAAGAAGTAGAGTAGCCTGGTTTCAAACCTCAGAATAGCTGCCTACATCTCAGATTTGCCCATTTACAGCTTTTTCCAGCAGCTGGAGAAACAGTTGACTAATTAGAGTTTAAAGCGTGGGATCAAGAACGTGGACATGTAGGACGTCTTCCTACATAGCTTGCCGGCTTCATTAATGCAAAATTGCAATAGAAAAGTGGCAACAAGCCACTGAGATCAACGCAGCTGTGTAAGTTGTTGTGAACCTGAAAATTAAAACACGTTGAACTTCTCTTCCTCCAGTACACCATGCGTTATTCACCAAAGGGTCATCACCCTGAAGAAGGCAAGATAGCCGAAACCGCTGAGTGAATAAAGCATGGTGTAGTGGAGATAAGCTGTGTGACCTGTTTAATTTTGACTGACTTGGACAGAAGCTCACAGTGAGCTGTGTGACAAGTTAGAAATGGTTATTTACCGAAATAACAACTTGGTCGACATGTTATTTTGATAAAGGTGAAAAACATTAATAATCAAAACAAATGCTGCTGCAGCGTCTGTTCTGAGCTTCTGTGTGAGTCTAATTGTTCTCTGTTGGAGCAGAACATAGTGGCTGAGACGTTGAGGAATCAGGACACAACTGCACACAGATGATCAGAAATGATATCAGATACTGTTAGAACCATGTCTACAGGGAGAGTGATAACTGTGCTTTTCATGTTCCATGTAAAGGTCATATCCTGAACATGAACAAAACCTGGATAAGAAAAAAAAAAACTGAGCTCGGCCTGCATGAATGAAGTGAATCAAAATGCCAAAACACGTATGTAACAATTTGCTAAAAACAAGGCATTGCTGTGATTTACTCCCATCAGAGTGACGACGCTCAACCTCCATCGGCCAGAGAAGAAGAAGAGGAAGAAGCTGATGAAGGACTCGCTGTACCTGGCAGCCATGCTCCGCCGCTTCACCCGGGAGAAGGAGGAAATGAGGAAAAGAAACCCCAACGTGTCTCAACCCGGCCTGGCAGTAGGTGTGGCTAATAAGCCCAACTCTGCCAACTCTACAAACCACCTGTTAGCCTCTAACTCCGCCCACCCGCCGGGCAACGCAGCCAGCAACGACGTCTCACTGGCAGACCTCACCTCGGACGCCGCTGTGATGTCACTGCTGGGCTCAGCCAACGAGAAGGAGCTGCAGGATCTCCTAGGTGACCTGGACTTCAGCTTGTTGGACACTGACCAGCAGCACGCCATGGCGACGGCCAGAGAGAACGGCATCCTGGGAGTCGGTGTTCCGACTCATAAAGCAGCAGGAGGAGGGGGCCAAGGGCGAGGCCTTGGGTCTTCCAGCGGACTGTTTTCTCCACCCCCGCTGCCTGATGGACTGCCTGCTCCTCTTATTAAACGCATCGAGGACCTGCGGGCGGTGAGTCAACTGTAGCCTGCCTGTGGGTGGCTGCAATTACCAGTGAAGCCTCTTTACTGAAGTTAAACACAAATGTCAATCAGCTGAGGAAGTGGCACAGAATGTTTATTGTTATTGTTCAGTCCAACGAGAATATTGTCCTCTAAAGTATTGGCTCCAAACTGAACCCTGAGGGTTTTTATGTAACTATAACAGCAGGGTTGGCATCACTACTTTTGAAGAAGTTCTTATTTTCTTGTTGCTCTTCTATCTCGGAGCCACAGAGTCAATCTGTTGCAGAGAAATCTTTTTCTAGATGTTGGTAAAAATGAAAAAAGGCAGCGAGGCAATTGAAAAGGATGATGCAAGTGAAGGATACAGAGGTGAAGAGGAGAAGAGTGAGGAGGAGGGAGGAATAAATAAAGAAATGGTGGAATTTTTTTGCTGCTTCCAAAGATAATGTGGGGGAAGCTTGGGAGAATCAACAGTAATGAATTTTTTTCTTTAAAGTCAGTATCACTCTGCTTGACCCATTGTTTGGTTTATTTGGGCTGATGTTGTCTTTTAGATCTGGTCTGATTCATCTTCATATTGACCCTCATTTGTCATAAGTAATGATGTGAAAAGAGGCATTTTGTACCCTCATATCACAGGGAGACAGCTACTCTCTGGCCACTACCTTCAACTCACTAGTGGGGATAGTGGGGTGAAAAAAGCACAACACATTACACTTTCAGATTAATCAGGGAAAATCACATATTAACTATCACAAAATCCTGTGGCTTCACACCAAAGATTCCTCTAAATGGGGTGCGGCTCTCCTGTTCAGCTGGTCTCAGTCCGGTTGTTTTAGTCTGTCGTTGAGTCCTGGTTTAATTCAGAACTTTCACACAAGCCCAAATGAACTGCACTGAATGGACAAATGCAATTTTTTAACCGAGCCAGACAGGTTAGGTGTCAAAGCACCCTTTGAGGTGCATAGTTAAAATTAGAGCAAGGTGAGTAAGGTCAGTATCAGGCAGGTAGAGAAGAAGTATTTGTGTCTGTCAGTGAAGTCCTCAGAGGCTCAGCATCAGATATATCTATATGTATTTGTACTGTATGGAACAGTGCCGTTTGCTGACTCAACCTTTTCTCCCACAGGCCTCGCGGCAGTTTGATCAGGAGGGCAGGAAGAAATTTTTCACCCTGGACATGAATAACATTCTCCTGGAGTGAGTAGGACAGCTTTTAAATCACCGTCAGCCAAATCCCAGCTCACTCTCCTCCTCCTTCTTTTCAGTCTTTCTCACTTATTTTCAGCAGATTTCCCTCGTCACCTCTCCTGCCATCTTTAAGTGTTTTCTCTCTGTTTCTCATTGTCTGTGTTAATGACATGCTTCTCATTTCCATTCTTGTTTCTCCAACTTTATGCTCATCCCCCTCATTCCTCTGCCGCTGCCAAGTATTTTTCTGTTCTCTTTTATTCTCTCTCTCTGTCCCACCATCTTTATCTTCCTCACTACTTCCCTCCCCTTTATTTGTCAGTCCCTTACTGTATCCCACAATGTTGACTTTTTCTCCCTCCTCTTCCTCCTCTCAGTATTGAGTTGCAGGTCCAGGAGCAGCCTCCTGAGGCGCGTTCAGACATCTACTCGCACATGGAGGCATTTGTGCCATGCAACAAAGAGGCCCTCCTCAAACGCCTGAAGAAGCTCAGCCTCAACATCCAGGTGAGTGAGGCTTATCTGAGGAGGAAGTGAGAAATCCCCTCGCATTACATTGATCCAGAATATGAATCAAATAAAATCTTTCCTGCTGCAGTCTTTTTGATTGCTCTGTGGTCACTAACAGTCAGATTCAGGAAGGCATGTGCACAAACCTAACCTGCCAGTTCTCTGCTGAAAGCACTCTGTAACCATGTGAAGTTGCGATAACGACAATAACTGAACTTCTGGGTTAAGGATCCTACCAATGACTGGTTCATATGATGGGTCCGAGGCAAAAGTGTTGTTGGGTACGACCACATTTGAAGTTGGGGTGAAAAGCCTGCGGTCATAGATGGGTGAGACGCGATATGCGCTAATGGAGATAACGGCACTCATTTTTGGCCAGTCTCCTCGAAGGCATTCATCATTTTACACTTGTTTGTGCAGACAAAAAGTAACAGAGGTAGTTGGGTGAAAAATAATAAAGGAGGGTGAGACAGAAGTTCAAATCCTGCAAACCTTTGCACACCTGGCCATGCTGCATGACGTGGTTGTGCACTTGGCTGCTGGAAGGCTTGACTTTCATAATTTGTCTCTGTATTATTACAATTGCAGTCAGAAGTGAAACTTTGCAGGGAAAAATGCAAGTCCACATTCAGTGTAGGGCAGAAGTGCAAAAATGATCCAAGATTACCAAGTTTAAACTTTGAATCTTCATGTTTTAGCTGCAAGCATTCACACATCTCTCGCAGTTGTCTCTACATCTTTACAGTGATCTGACTTGATTTTTTGTTTTTTTCCTCTCTTCCAAGCACTTCCTGATTTTGGGTGTTTTTATTTTTTATTGCATCATACCAGTAATTTTTATGACCCCCTGTGGCTCATTTGGCAACAAATTCACTCATCAGTGACCACAAAATATTGGCTATTTGGAGATTTTACATAACAAGCACATTGGGGAAGCAGCAAAATATCCAAGTGTTTGATTCAAACTCTGTTTTCTGATTTGTACTTGAGCTGCTTTGTTAAGCTCCTGCTGTCTAACCCCAAATGTTATCCTGTAGTTTCTTCACATTATTTTTTTGCCTTTTCATAAAGCTTTTAATCCCCAGCCATCCTTACTGCCTCAGTTGTTAATACACAAGGATCTCTGTGTAGGCAGACGAGTGCAACAAGGACTGCCACTGAAAACAGGCTTCCAAATGTCTTTTGTCATGGACCATTAAAGTAGCATTGTTGACAAAATATATCAACATACTCCCCCACTTTCTATCCCTTTGACTCTTCCACTCACTACCCTTCTCTTTTTCTTTTTCTTGTTGTTGTTTATCTTGTTGTTGTTTTCCTTTTCTCTCCCTGTTGCTCTGCCTCCACCTTTTCCCACTCTCCTCACTCTGACTTCAATTTCCTACCTTCAACTCTTTTGGTTTCTCTACCTCTCATTCTTGTTGTTCACCCTCCATCTCTGTCTCCCTCTGTCATTAATACACCCACCCTTCTCTCTCTCTCTCTCTCTCTCTCTCTCTCTCTCTCTCTCTCTCTCTCTCAGGACGACCGACTAAGGACGCCACTGTTGAAGCTGAAGCTAGCTGTGTGCAGTGTGATGCCAGAGCAGATAGCAAGATATAACATGGACTGCATGGCCAAGGTTGCAAAGTAAGTAACTCCTTTTTTGTGTCAGAAAACAGCTGAGTAAGAAGCTAAAGTGAAATTACACTAAAACGTTATCTATCTTTTTTACCATTTGAAAAAACCCATCAAAAAAATTACAGTTGGAGTCATGTTTACTTCTTTGTCTACCGAAGACAGCATTGCATTTACTTCTTTAATTAGAATTTCAGCAGATGTTTTTATTTTGCGACATCAGTATTTCCCCTGATAGTAATTATTGTTAACGTTATCCAGTAAAGTTTATTGAAGCTGTTGGTTTGTGAAAGTATGCATGTATGTTAATGTATTTCTGACTGCACCTGTGACCTGCAGGCAGCAGTCAGAGGAGGGCGATAAGAACGGGTCAGAGGAGGAGGATGAGGAGAAACCTGGGAAAAGGGTGATGGGCCCGCGAAAGAAGTTTGTCTGGGATGACAAGCTCAGGTAATGATCCGGGACTGTCTTGTTGGAATAGCTGGTCTAGCTGCAGTGTGTTTGAGGTGCTCTAGGATTGACGCTGTACCCTGAGGTGTTTTTTCAAATGCTGTCCCTTTTGTCTTTCCTGTTGCTCTCCACTGTTGATGTCTAATCTAGTAAACAGAGTTTACACATGCCTTAAAGATTCCTCACAGTTGCTAGGATGGAGAAAAATAAGACCTCAAAATTTTTGAAAATGAAAGATGGGAAAAATGGAATTGAATCATTAATATAGCTCAGCTGGTAGGTTCATAGGTTTGAAGTTTTCAACAGCACTTTACTCTATCATGCATAAAATTGGCTTTGTGGTTTTGACCAATTTATTTATTGTACAATTTTTAGTGTCTGAATTTCACCAAACAAGATCCTCAGTGTTACTGAGGGAAGCTCTGAATTTTATGTGTGCATGAAAGTGGAAATGATGAATAAAGAATTTGTGTCCTATTGAAATGACAAAAACCTTTAGACTCGCTGCTGCTTTTCAATCATCATTTCACATTTCTAACAAAGGTTTTTTTACACAGTCGTTCTCAGCCCTGACTACCTGAAAAATGACAATCTTGTCTGTCTGCAGCCTAATTTAGATTTTAATATCTAATGATTTGTGTTGAATTGGACATTTGTGTTTGTGCAGGAACCTGCTGTGCAGCTTGGTGCGAGTGAAGCTGAGCTGCTACGACATGGAGAAGCAGTGCTCTCTGTCTGTGGAGGACTACCTCAAGGCCTTCTTAGAGAATGAGGTCAAACCACTATGGCCCAAGGGCTGGATGCAGGCCAGGTTTGTGTGTGTGTGTGTCTGTGTGTGTGCATGTGTGTGTGCATGTGTGTATGTGTGTGCGCGTGCATGCGGCTACACTTTTGAGAGGAGGCATCAGTTTAGTCTGTTGTTGCATGCACATTCTAAATAGCTCTACTGATCTCACTAGTTTCTTTTCAGTGAGTAGGTTTCATTTTCCAAGTTTGTTAAACCTGTAGATTACAAAGACACATAATCATCAAGTGTTATGTTCATACCTAAGACAGTGTGCAAATCATACAGAGCAACAGGAGGAAGCAAAAGATTGTTGCGATAGTACAATGATCACATCCACTGCTCAATACATGTATCCATGCAAAGTAGTGCCGAGCCACAGAACATAGATGAGCAGTACTGTTATCTATCACATCTTACACAAATGCAGAGGAATTAGACATATCAGTAGATAAAGTAAAATGTTAACAAACAATAGCATTGATCTTAGTAAGATGTTAATAGACATAGTTTAAAAGCTGGTAAAATGGAAATATCACATGTAAGCCTTGCAACACAAAGTCATAAAACACGATTGTTTTCTGGTCAGTCTAACACTCCCAACTTCTCTGCAGGCTGGAGACATGTAGCTGGTTGTTATCATGAGTGGTTGTTATTTATAAAGTAGAAACTAGGATTCCTACTCTCCACTTGGAAAAATAAAATGACCCAGAGTTTGAAGTTTCTGTACTATGCTTTTTTTTTTTCTATGGGACAACTAGTTTCTCTGCTGCAGGTAAACACACACACAGTCAGTTTGGTCTTTTTCACGTGTCTCTCATGTTTTTCCCTACTTTATATCTCAAATCAGGAGTCATGCGTTGGCTGTAATTGAAAAATTGAGCCTGCGCAATTACTTGAGAAATTAAACTCGACATTTATCCAGCTATTCTGGTGCTCTGATGTTAACACTGTGTGTCTCTTATCGCTGTGTGTATCTTCTGCTCAGGATTCTGTTCAAGGAGAGTCTGGCCGTTCACAGTCACCTCACTGGAAATCTGTAAGTACTTACTTTTATCTAAAACAGCTTGTGTGTCCTCAGTAATACTAACTACTCAGGGATTTCTCTGAGACTGAGCTTGAATGCAAAATGTAAATAGAAAAGGCTGAATATTTTCTGGTATTTTTCTGGTAGAGTCAAAAGGAGAATGGTGCCTGGGCCCAAGGCCAAAGCCAAGGTGAGTGAAACTCAAACTACAATATTGTATGTTATCTAAAAAATGTCCCACAGTGTAGTGATCATGAAAGTGATGAGATTGTATTGCTTCCTCTCAACACGTCTTGGCTGCTAGTATCATATACAGAATTTCTATTGAGCAATCATTTGACTAACAAAACTGAAATGGAGCTACGGTATTTTATAACTCAAAGCTCCCATTTTATTATTCTCTATCATGTAAAAGCCAAGCCAGTATCCAAATAAGAGTCTCAATAAATAGCTGTGGCACGCACAAACAAATAGTCCAGGTAAAAAAAAAATTACCTGTAGCCTACTTCAACAGCTCACATGATAAACTTAGTATTAAGCACATTTCCACCTATTTCCTCAGTAGAAGAGCAGAGTGATGTCACACTCTCCGTTCTGCTGCTCCCCATTTCTCTTCTCTTCATGTTCAGATTAATTCCAGTTGTTTCTTCTTTCCCGTACTTGATGTTATGCAACTGGCAACAACATTCAACACTTGATGTTTGTTTTAAACATATAAGCCTACCTGTATAGTGAAGGCTGCAAGACTCTTAATCTGAAAATTCCAGAGGAAGTGTTGCGTTAAATTTATGATAAGTTCAGGGAAGAAGTTAAAAAGGGAAAGAGGAGTGTCTGACCTGACTCTTGTTGTACTGATGATATGAGTGCTCTTCAAAATTATAATATGTAACATGATACTGAGTTGCATTAACTGATGGACAGGAGAAATTAGAAATAAAAGCCCCACTGTCTCTGCCACTGGGCTAAATTTGAGAATAAACTGATACTTTGTGTTGTTGACACTCAACAAGAGTTTCCTGTTCTTTAGGAGGGTCCGTGGATCCACAAACCACCTCTCACCATGATCTCCACACCATCTCTGCCCACCTCCACATCTGCTGTGACCGCCAACCGCCAGCCCCCCTCCTCCTCGCCATCGGAGCCCATCTGTCTGTCGGATTCTCTGGATGAAGATCTGACTGCACCCTCTCTGGACTCCATCTCCCACGCTCTGGCCCTCCTCAGCAATGCGTCCAAGGGTCTTGGGCCCTCAGACAGCCCCTTGTCGCCCCCGCCCCTGCAAATCCCCACTTCCTCTCCTCCTCCCGTCACCCCTCACTATCCCTCAGCGTCTCAGCTCTCTGCCTCTGTCACTTCCACAACGCAGCATCATTCCCTGTCTAAGGTGGAGACTGTTCCGCTGGCAGCTGCTGGGAACTTGCCAACAACAATAACAACGCTACCAACCTCCTCTTCTACCTCCTCTTCCTCGTCTCCGGCTGTCTCTTCCATGGCTCGTGTGCAGGCAGCAGGCTTGTCGTTGGCCTCCAGAACTGCAAATGGCCCCTATGGCTCGATCAAAGGATCTGGTACTGTGGGCCAAACCCAGAATCAGAGACACATTACCATGGCATCATCCAATCATAGGCCAAGCCCGGTAATGGGCGGGAGTAGCAAGATGCATCCACACCCCTCCCCATCGCCTCCAAAGCAACGACCACCTCCCACGGCTTCCCCTCTGCTGCCCCCCCATCAGAAGGGCTTTGTTGGCCCAGCGGGGATACTGGGAACTATGGGAGCCCCTCAAGGACTAGCCAAGAGCAGTGCCAAAGCCAGCGGCATCAGCAGCAATGGCAGCGCTGTGAGCATCACACCTTCTTCCTCGCCTTCCCCCCAGTCCCGCTCCAACTCTACCTCCCACCCCGGTCTGCAGTCCTTCTGCCCTCCCTCCCCGGTGGCGTCCTCGCCATCCCCCACCTCCCACACCTCACACTCCTCACAAGGTAAATCCCACACACACCACCACCACCAGGCCAACTTCATCACGCCCATGCAGGCCACCCTCACCAAGTCCTCCCACAGCAGCAATTCCTCTCCCATCATCAAGCTCACCCCTCGGCCTCCTGCACCCACCCCGCCTCCCTCCTCCTCTCCCTCTCCTTCCTCCTCACCTTCACACCCGCTCTCCCATCAGATGATCCCCAGCCAACAGCAACAACACCAGTACTCCCCCAAAACCCCCAAAACCTTCAGGCCCCCCTTCAGTGTATCGGGCGGTGGGCAGGTGAAGCAGACGCAGGGCAGTTGCATCTTCACTGGAGGCCAGAAACCTCAGTCCACCACAAGCAACAGTAGCATCAACAACTCCAACAACAAGGGAGTGGTATCAGCTGTCTGCAGTCACCCAGACAAATCTCCCTCGTCTTCTTCACCTTCAGTCTCAGCCAATCACGGGCAGAGGCAGAGGGTGGTGGGTGGGTCCAACCAGGGCTCAAAGGCAGGAAACGGTTGGGCGCCTTCAGGAACTCTGGCCACGTCCTCCACAACGTCACACCTCTCACAGGTTAGTGTTGTGGACAAGAGTATGAGAATGAACGAATGAATTAATAAAATACACAAACTCTGACTGCATGCTGTTTCTGCAGGTATCAACAGCAGGCTCTCCCCTCCTGGGCAGCCCCTCTGCTCTGCCCCTGGGTTTCGGGATGTTGGGAGGCCTGGTGCCCGTCTCACTACCCTTCCAGTTCCCCCACTTGCTCAATTTCAGCCCTCCTGGAGCCCCAGGGGCCGCTGGCATGGGCTCAGCCCCCAGCTCCAACTCAGGATACCCCCTAGCACAGAGCGACCTAATTGGTGAGCAGGCACACAAACTGTTAAAGCGCGGTTTGTCACCTAACACTGATTAAACAGAGAAGAGGGTTTCTTTTTGAAGGCCCCAAGGGAAAAAATCATGGGGAAGCACCAGTGATAGGACCTTTTGCAAAACACATGCAATAACAATGATAATTTTTTTTCTTGGTTTATCAGTTTTTGAAAAATAGGGTTGGTGAGTTTCTGTATCAGTGTAGGTTTTAACAAACATTACTCAAACACGAGCAAATATTGCATTTGTTGGGGACTATTTTCAGTAGAGGATTAATACACATGGCTGCACTAGTGAGTAGTATTTATGGCAACAGGGTGGTGTATATGGTATTGACTGAAAATAGCAACATAAATATATGTGTGTGTGACTAATATACATATATATCTTATTTCGTTTGACCTATTACAGTTTTTTTTTTTTAAAAACATTTTCTCCTTGGTATTTAGGTCAACGTTTCTAAAAGATTTTGTAAAGCTAGGGCTGAATGACTAATTGTATTTGCCAGTGAATATTAATTTACATCACTTAAGTCTAAACAAGCTGTAAAAAGTTTACTGAAAATGAAGAAGCAGTCAGTGAACACAATATTAAGATAATGGAAGACGGCAAATGTAGTCAGCTGTAGCAGAGCAAGTCAACCAGCTAAGTTTACCTATAAAGGGTCATTTCCTCACATCATTCAGCCCTTCGTGAAGATTCACTCCTGGGAGACAATAGTGTGTGTGTGTGTGTGTGTGTTGTGGTGCTGTGTGAGAGGGTGTGTGTGTGTGTGTGTGTGTGTGTGTGTGTGTGTGTGTGTGTGTGTGTGTGTGTGTGTGTGTACTGAAGTATACCTGCAGTATCTCCACTGTGCCTGCTGTGCTCCACATCTCACGCTGTGACCCTCTCGCCTTTTTTTTCTTTTTATATAAACCACCGCCTCCCCCCTTTGTTCTCTCCATCTTTTGTGTCAGTCTCTGTCATCTCAACCTTTTATACTTGTATGCCTCACTGCCACTTCACTTTGATCCTCCCCTCTCTCTTGTTGCCAGTCTTCCATTTTAACATGTTCCCCCCTCCTCTTTGTGTCTTCTTTTCCATACTCCCCCTCATTGTTGTTGTTGCCTCCTTCTCTCACCTGTCCATCCTCTCCTCCATCTCTCCTCAGATCTGTATAAGAGTCTCCAGTCAGGGTCGCAGGCTGCCCTACCTCCTCACTTGCAGCTTGCTTTCTCAGGTAATCTGCATTCCTCCTTCTCCTTCTCCTCCTCTTCATCCTCCCTCCCCCTCTCTCTCTCCATCTGTCTGAGTCAAGTCGACCTGTCGTCCTCTGCTTGTTTGTTGTGTATCTTTCTGCTTGCTTCAGTATATTTGGTGTTTGGCATGCCTCTGTAGCTGTAGTCCTCTGTAGCTGTTAGCACAGTTAGCCGCATGTTGTAAAGCTGCTGATGTTATTCAGAGATATATTGTCTTTGCAGTAGTTTGCGGAAACACACAGTGAGGATTCTGTTTTATCCTGTGTTGTACAGATGCTTCTTTGATTTGAGAGCAGCAGTCTGATTAACACGTGAAACTGCAGTGTGTGTTTTGACTGTCTTACTTATGAAAAATGAAAAAAAAAAAAACATTTGCTCTGGTAACACTATCTGATGTCTTGGGGATGTGGTTTGAAATTCTGTAAATCAAAAAGTCTGATCCTCTATATTGAACAAATGTACTTATGTTGTAGAACCTGTGCAGCTGCTTTGCATCTGTCACGTATTTAGCTTCACCTGTAGCTGAATTTGGTTGTATTTCTAGCTGTAAACAGAGACTTGAAGCTAACAGTCCAGTCTCACCTGGATCATTCAGGTCGAAGAAACATCTGCATATCTCAATCAGGAGACAGAAACTCAAACACAGATCATCCTGTGTGAAATAGCTTCCAAGTTGCTGCCTTATCATCAGCAGCAGTAAAGCCTGTAAAACATCTCCTGCAGCCTGTTGCACCAGTTCAACATGTGATGAACCTCAAGCTGAATATTATAATGAACTTAGTTTCACACTGAAGCTGTGTCCTCTTTCAGCTACACCTCTCACTTTAATAAATGCATCTCAAACAATAGAACATTGTCTGCAACAAACCTTAATATTTCCATCTTCTGTTTATATAAGACCAAAATTAGTTCTTTGACCAAACCCTGACCAAACATTAATCCCTTATCTAATACCTGCACCAGCAAATAATGGCCAGGTTACCCCACAGACTTGTCGGCTATCTTAAGTTGTACGACAGTCTGTTGCCAGTTCAGTGCACTTGTTCCTCTGTTGCCCTGTAGGTTTTTTAATCTCATGAAATGTGCCTTCGACATGGTAATTACTATTTGCAAAGACAAAGACTGCACCTAAAAAGCAGTGTGTGTTGTAGTTGTATCTTCTATCATAAATCCCTTAAATCTGGTTATTGAAGAGCTGTGACAGATGTGCTCTGAACAGGATGCTTGACAGCTGAAAGATAAACTCAGTGCACTCTGGTGGACAGTCTGAGTAACAGTCATTGTTTCTAATTACCTCAACTAAACCTTTGACATTTCTGTGCTGCAATTTTTTCTTCAGCCGACTTCAACACTGGTACAATATGTGATGTGATGACAATGGTGATTTGTCAACAGTCAGACATTGCGCTCACTCTGAAGTATCTGTTCTAAAATATTTGCTTGTATTAAACAGTGTTGAAGCATTACTTTATGGAAACCCTGCACTTGCAGGATATTTGCATCACTGTAATGAAAAGAATGAAATAATCAACAGGCATTTTATAAACTATATTAGCCAAAATCTAAAACCAGACATTCCCATTCAATTATTTGATCTTAACTGTTAATTTACTATATCATGAAATGTCAATATCACAATATAAAATTACATGTACTGTAAGAGAATGTGTTGCGTATATTGGGGCTGCAACTAACAATCATCTTAATCATTAATTCATTTTAGATTATTTTCAACTCATTACTTGACTTGATTTTGGCTGCATAAAAAATAGGTCACAACAAACCAAGAGTCTAAAACCGAAAATACTAATTTTTAATGTCAATTTCAATTTAGGAAAAAAGAAATCCCACCATTTGACAAACAGCAATGAGCATTTCAAAAATAAAAAGGTTTTGCTGGATAAATGACTTTAATGATTAATTGATTATTACATTTTTGGCTATTAATGTTTTGGAGCAATATGAGGTGGTGTAGTGTGTGAGCTCGACAAGTATAAATTCAGGTTCAGTTGGTGCTTCAGGTTGTTGGATCTCTGACACAAGAGACCGTTTCTTATCAGCCTGGTGTCGGGGTTGTTAACAATCTGCCTCCTCTCCACTCAGATGCGAACCAAAGCCAGGGTGGAGACATGAAGAGGAAATCCCACTGACCAATAACAGCGCAAGAGAGACGGACACCAGTGGGGTGACATCACAGCCTCCTGGACACATCCACCAATAGGATTCTTCACTTTGATTGATGTTGGTGTGGTATGAGAGGGCGGGGCTCCACTGCCTCTTTTAAAACGGACCTAAAGGAGAATCGGTTTATCCTCGCTACAAATGGCAATGATAAATTAATTTAACTGTATTTTCTAATGAACCGGGTATGAGAACAAGACGGAGTGAATGATGAGAACACTTATTTTTGTTCAGCTTATTTTTATTTTTGTCAACATGTTTACATATGACCGACCTTGATCACTGTGGAATGAGTGTGAGCGAGGTGGTGGCGGTGGTACAGATGAGAGTAGTAGTATGCTACGTAATATAATTTGTATTTAAGCTTATGTGGAATAACAGGACTCTTGTTCTTGCAGTACAAAAAGAAAAAAGAAAAACAGACTGAGTAATGAATTTTTATTTTTCTGTCTTTTGTCTCAGATGTGGGAATCGTTGTGTCCGTAGAAATTTTATTGTTGGTCACCTCTGCTCCCACAAATGACTGTTAAGTAGTAGCTTAAATTAATATTAATAAATTATTTGTAATTTACACAGGGACAACAACATGTTATGGTGAGTGTGTGTGTGAGTGAGTGTATGTGTGTGAGAGAGAGAGAGAGAGAGAGTGCTGAGGTTGATTTGAATGTGTGTATGTACATAAAAAACACAATATACTGTTAATTTCTTTCCAGATTATTCTGTATGAATGAGTAAGGACGTGTATCCCCTTTTAACAATAATGAGCGAGTGTAAGTTTGATGCCCCTCTCTTGCTCAGTGTGTTTTTGGTGCTGTTTAATCACACTGGACCTTTTCTGGAAAAAAGACTTGAATTGAAAAAGTTTCGGGCTCCTCTTCTGGAGAGAGGAGCTGCCTGTGAGAGAGGGGGGAAACGTCAAGAAGTAGCCTACTTGAATTGTTTTTTTTTTTTTTTGTTTGTTTTTTTGTGAGTTAAGATTTTTTATTTACTTTCTCTGCTTATTGACTCAAACCAACTTAATATAACACAACGCCTTAGTTTGTATTGAAAAAGTATGAAAAAGATCTATGCAGGACTGTAAAACGCTCAATGCAAAAGTGCAAGTTGTCGCTTGGCTTTCAACCTCTACTCAACTGGTCAGTGCATTTCTGGAGTTGTGAATGTTTGTAGATGTTATTATGTCACTTGAGACTCCTTCATTTCTGGTGTGTGTTCAGACCGAACGTGAAGGGGATTTGAGAAGCGGAGAGTTTGCAAACAAGTTTGTTGCAAAGATGTGATTAGGTACAAGGCACAAATTGGCACGAAGATGGTGTCTGTGTGAGTTGAAAATGTTTCCGCTTAAGCAAATAAGTTTTGCTCATGCCACATTCACAAGGCAGTACCGCTTTCACGCAATGTTAACAGAATGGGAAGAACAGAAAAAGGAAACAAAAAGTTGGAAGTGTTCACGCATTATTCCAAGATTCCCATGTCAATGACTTGCAAGCTAACAACTCAAGACCGCTTTATCAGTACAGAAGTGGTTGTGTGGGAGTTAAAATGACTGTGCATTGACAATGTAGCCACATATCCATTTAATGTGGCTTAATTACACTGAGCAGTCTGGATGATGTTAGGCAACCACACCTGTTCGGTTTCAGGTTTTTCCATAGTAGTAAGTGCCAAGTCGGATATATTGGAGCTTTCAGAAAAATATAAGTTATTATGACTTGGAGGTTGACATTGTAATTACAAGTTTCTGACTTGTAAACAGCAATAACTCTGACATGCCATTAACATGGCATTAGCCCCAATGCTAGCCTTGTATTCACACCACATAAATTGGCTTGTTTTGTTTTCTCTCAGTTGTTACCAAGTAAAAACTAATACAGACAGGGTACAGCGACTATAAAATTAGCTGAATTGATTGTATTAGTGTTAATATTGGATTGTATTTGTAGCCATTCGCCAATAGTTTGTTGATATGTCTGTAATGTTTGTTTTCACCAAGTGGGAAAGTTCAACAGTATCAAAATTCATATTGCCAAGTGAGAAAAACTGTTAAGCCTTTATAGTTTGAGACGTCAGCAAATGTGTGACGTTGACGATGCCACTAACTTTATAGGAGCTACACACTTTTTGTTTGTATCTGGTTATTACTTGGTAATGAACTGCTACAAAAACGCAACAAAAGTAGCAAATTTAATGTTGAGGGCAGTTTAAGGCTAAAGAAAAGAAAAGGGACACTGGAGAGAAATAACAACAAGAACTGGTGTTTCTGGTGAGCCTGGACGCAAAAAATTCCCTTCGCTGTCAGTCTGAACCCCGTGATAGAGATACCTTCCCTCTGCTGAATACCTCCGTTAACAAAATCGTTCTTCCTGAGTCTCGCTGTCCTCCCCCCGACTACTTCCCCGCCCTCCTCCATGTGTGTCTGACTGACCGGCAGCACCAAGAACGACGCCAAAGATTGCTCCTGTAGTCCTTTTTTTAGATGGGGTGTTGCTGGTCAGTGTGTGTGATTGATCTGACATCTTCCCTAAAACTGTAAACCCATGAGTGTCATTGTGAAGTCATGTGACTGGAGCAGTGGGTGACATCTTATAAATTGTGCTTTCTTTGGGGGTGGGGGGAGGATAAAAATGACATTTCGTGGTTAACTGGTTACTATAATTTGGTCTTTTGTAGATTATTTTTGTGTGTCAATTATGAAATTAAACAAAACAGGTGGTTTTCATGATGACTCTTCTTGACTTGTTTCTTCCTCCATCTTTGAGTGCTGTGTCTGATATTTTACAAAGCACTGGTGTTTTAACTGTACTTTGATGGCAAACTTACACACCCTTGCTCACACTTATTTCCTTTTCTCCAGGACATAAGGGACCCCAGTGCAGTGCAGGTGCATGTGAACGTAAGTGTTAAAATCCTTAAGGTTTTACAGTTTCTTGCTTTTTTAACTAACTCAACAAACTAAAATAAATGTAAGGAGGTTAAGTGTATTAAACAAGCTAGAAAGTTATATACTGCTACTAAAAAAAAAAAAAAAAAGTCACAGTAAGGCATAAAAATATCAAAAAACATAATTGTGTGGTATGTCATAAAAATGTTTTAAAAAACGTCATAGTGTAGTATGCCATAATACTGGGAAAAGTAAAATAAATAATAAATAAAATAAAACGAGACCAAACACCAGTATTCAGCTCCCAAAAACAAACCAAAACAGCATCACAGCTACAATGAATATGCTTTATTTTCCTTTTACAAAAACAAAACAGAAAAAAAATTACCATCTAGAAATACAGGTATACAAGAAATAATAAGATGGGAGTATTTGCAGTTGAATGCCTGGTTGTCAACAGCCAGCTGGATAATAATAGAAGAAAAAAAATGAGTTAACTACTTATGGATGTTAAAGCTTCCAACCAAATGAAATACTGTGCAGTGCATCATTTCCCAAAATAACTTGAGTACTCACCTGTGAGTGGTTACAGGGGAAAAAAATCTTAGTTCAAAAATAATTTTGGGACATGCAGCTGCTGAGGGCTCTGCTTCTCATGTAGTTAATAATAATACTATAATACTGATTTTGACCCAAACACTAGCTATGAGGTTATTATGAACATAGAGGTACACAGTGGATATGATATGAAGCACAGCAACGATACAAAAGAAAGAGAAGATTAAGCGCTGAATATCTTCTTGATGTACCTGTTTGATCTTATGAGGGTTTTGTTTCACATCTGTAATGAAATCTTTGCCCACTTATGTTCTTATTTAGTGTCTAAGGCACTTTTAAAGAAACATACTGTTAAGTGTTAACATTTGAGGAGAAGGGCAAAGTGGTCTGCCATAGACAACCATCCTAATCAGCATATCCAAAATAAAGACTAAATGAAGTTGGTAGAGTTGGTAGATGGATATGAGTATCCTGACATGTTTTTTCACTGTAGTGGTTCAACTGTTGAGTTTGCTGCTGTATTTCAGGCTGAGCCTGTCTTCACCTCACGAAAAGATGCTATTAAAGGTACTTGGGCTAAAATTGCAAGGAAAGAATTAAAAAGTTTGTTTTCAGACAACCTGTCACTGGTCTGTCGGTAGTGTGAAGAGTCAGGCTTCAACTCACAAAATCATGGCACAAACCAGCCCTAGTTTGTTCATCATTATGTTTCACCATTACAAATGTGTCACAGAGCTACAAGTTTCTTAAAAGTAAATGTCTGGGTATCTTTTGACCCACATAAACTCTTTCTGTTGTCTGTTGCACAATAAAAGTCAGCTACAGCTACAGTGCTAATGGGCCATGAGATTCTTCAGTCAAAACTTTTTTAACCTGTTTCCCAATTTCCTATGCAGGTACCCAGAAATGACGTATGTCCAAGCTCGTTTTGTACATTACAAGAAAGTTATAACTTTTTTTTATATTTTCAAAAAAAAAACAAAAAAAAACAAACAAATAGCATAGCAAATGTGACATTAATACAGAGAAATGTAACTTAACATTACTTTTCATTTTGTTTCATGACGCACAAACTGAGCGAAGACAAATGTGATTTCCAGCTACCATCTTTGTTTGAATTAGGAAATAGTCACCACTTGGGAAAACAGTTAAAAACCGTTGTCATAGAATTGCAGATATTGACATTTTATAGTTTTTCTGGGTGCTAAAGGACAACTTGTCCATGCTGACTTAAAAGGTAAAGATTTTATCATGCAACAGGCAGAATAATTTTTCATCAAAATGTTTAGAGGATCTGAGGATTTAGAAAAAAAAACACTCAGAACAGTATTAAGTGTTAACGATCTTTGAAGTTTCAAAAGATCGCCAAGTATTAATTATTCAGAAAAACTGATACTTAGCTCTGTGACTCAAATGTAATAACACAAACTGGGACTAGGCACAAACAAACACTGAGATGAAGTCTCCATTTCTAATCAAACTACATGTTTAACCTAAGCTGTAACCATTTAGTAGTGTCACATTGAAAACGTGGACTGAGCGCCACTTTAGTGCTTCCAGTAAGAGCTTTTGTCTCCTGTTGGTTTCCAGTTAAAAATTCAAACATCTTCCTGTGCATTTTCCAGCATCTCTGCATCATTCGCAGCTCAAGTCGGTCCACACTGGAGGACAATATACTTACAAACCAAATAGTGTTCCCAGTGGTCAACAGTACAAAACAGTTAACCTTATGAGATTCCCAGTTAAAACCTCAGCTAGACATTCTAAATGTTGAGATGAAGCAACAGAGAAAATAAAATACCTTTTTTTTTTCACAGTAATACATTTTCAATTCAGAGTCCATTTTGTTGTATTGCATGTCCCGAGATGTTAGTCGTTCCTGTAGAGTTGTAGTCTGTACATCAGAGGGAGACTCATGCAACAAAAGCAGCAGGCGCGGCATTCCAAAGGCCAGCGTGACCATGGTTTTGTGTATTTCCTCTGAATGGACCGTCAATTTGAACACTGGAAGGAGGGAGTGTGTCGCGCATCAGATGGCTTTTACACAACTAGTGAGCAGAACACCAACAACAACACCAGAGTGAAATACATTTTCTTGTAGTCCTGCATTTTCCAGTATGGAGTGCGTTTACACGTTACATATTCGATGTGTGCACACCTCACAGCCTCTGCCTACATCACGCACACACACAGATTCATATGTATAAAAAGCACTTTGTACCTATGCATACTTTCTCAATAAGCTGAGCAGATAACTTCGCGCCTGATGGGAGGGGGAGGGGTTGTTGTTACGTTATGATGCTGAGATGATACATGGCCGACAGATGAGCCATGGCTAGCAGCTTGCCAGAGGAGAACAGAGTAAGGCAGAATTGTCCGTTTGCCCCTGTGACTCTCCAGGTCTGGAGGCTTTTCTTCAGGGGAGGGCGGTGGATTTTCCCTGCAGTGGTATCTGATACAAAAAGAGCAGAGGCGCGTTGCCAGGGCACTCTGCCCAGCTTTACCATAAAACAGCTCATCGCTCCAACCGTCTGTCCAGTCAGTGGTTTGAAATTAATGAAGACCATGCTGACGCCGTGGAATCACTTGGGGAAAACTGGGCCCAGGTCATAGGTGGAAGAGTTGAAGGGGAGGTGGGGAGTGGCAAGGTGAGGTGAGGAGAGGAGAGGGGAAAAGCGAGGACGAAGTGTAGCTGTAATTACTCCACGTTGGGGGTTTGTGTCTCATTGAAGTCGCCGGCGCGGCTGTCGGCGTCGTCGTCTGACAGGTCGACGGAGGCACCGTCTAGGTTGAGGTTACGGCGGCCTGAGCGGCTGGAGGAGAAGCTGCTGACTGGACCCCCACGCCTGTACAAACAAAACAAAACAAAACGAGATAACAACTTAAACCTGTGCTGCTTACAGGAATAGAAATGTGCTTATGTGCTTTCTTGCCGAGAATTAAATAAGAAGATCAACACCACCCTTGTACATATGCTGAATATGGGACTAGAGCCAGGGGGCGATTAGCTTAGCTTAGCATAAAAAGTGGAAACTAGGCTGGGTCTGTCTGAAGTTCAAACACATGCCACCACTTCAGAATCCAATCAGGGAGTTGTACCTGATTGGAATCTGTTGGAAATGTAAACTCGAGAAGATGTGATTTTACTCTGAATTATGTGCTAGAACTATTTGTTGGTGATCAGCAGCTGAACACAGTCAAAACCCTTCAAACCACAACTTGTTGTTTTTACATTTATATTTGTGTACAAATTAAACAAATTAGATGCCTGTAAATTAGAGAACACTTTGAACTCTTGGCAAGAAAGTAAATCAACATATTTCCAATGATGTCAAACTATTTCCTTAACCAGAGAACATGGTGTAAGTTAGATGTTAGCCTGGTCAAAAAGCACACACGCTGAAGACAGACATGACATAATACTTATAAATTAGAGTCCAGTGCACATACACCTCTGATGTGGTTGTATCATTGCATATTCACACATGTAGTTCAGTTTCGTTTAATCTTATTTTTCTTGAATTTCTTTTGTGGAAGTGAACAGGGAATCTGAGGACATTTCTACCACAGGGTGTTAGCAGAGTCCTCCTCGCACCTGAGGCGGTTCTTGAGGGAGTTGACCTCCCGGGTGAGACCCTCACTGGCCTCGGTGGCGTCATCCAGCTCCCTCTGCAGCTTCCTGCGGGAGGCGTTGGCCCTGGTGGCTTCCTCCTCCGCCTCCTCCAACTGACGCTTCAGCTGCTTCATACGAGAGTTGGCTTTCTCCATCTGGCAGGAAGATGGACACGTGGGGACACAGATGGGAGACAGTGAGAGGTCGTGGACAGTTGGCAGAATAACCATCCAGAGTAAAAGTGAATCTTTCTACGTGTGACACTTTGCTCGTCATGAGTCAATACCTGCTCCTTGTACTGGTCGGCATGGCGACGCTCATCCTCCACCTGCATCATCACCTCCTTCAACTTCTTCTCTGTGCGACGGACGATTTTGTTAGCTGCTGCTCTCTCCCTGGAAGTAAAAAAAATAAGACTTTAACAAACATATACTTTCATTAATGTCTCAAAATTTATGTCAGAATGATTTATCGATCCTTAAATATGTATCCCACTACCTGAACAGAAAAGCTCAACAATGACTTTTCATTGCTTGTCCTAAAATATTTACTCCAATGGATGTAAAATGTCGTCTGACATGTCGTGAAAACAGGTGAGTTGGACACTTACTTGACCTCCTGCTCCAGCTGCTCCTCCAGCTGCAGGATCTTGGCTTCTTGGGCAGCA